ACTGTTTGGATTTAGCAGATCAAGTTTATTTTTGTAACTGTTCCTAAACTGTTCCTAAAGATGTCTTATCTAAAACTGGACAAATTTCTACTCTGTAACAGGCTACTAGAACTATTTTGAATTTTTTCAACTTTTTGGAATCAACAAAGTGAACTATTTTTGGACGTATATATGTACTATGAACTTTTCTTGGATTACCAGATGTCTGTAATCAACTAAAACAAGCGAGAAACCAAGAAAGGGTATTGTAAATTAATTAACATTTATCTATTGTCAACTAATGAATTTATATTTTATGTCATAGAAAATATATCAAAATGTTATGTTTTGAAGAATATCTAGCACTAGCGAGGGCGCAAGGCATTAAGAAGATGAAGAAGCAGATAGCCTGGGCAAACACTCGATTTGACAGAGACATAGAAAAAGCATTAGAAGCATGGGACGAAGAAACAGGACGACCCCGAGTAGCTCATGGAAAAGTAATAAGTGAATTAGATGATGAGATAGAAATAGAGTGTAATAGATCAAGAGCTATTACAGACATGCAAAAAGAAGAAGAAATGTCAGATGGAGATAAAGTAGAAGAGACTGTACAACTAAAAGGAAAGCGAAAAAAAAGAAACAGAAAACAAAGAGCAGATAAAAGGGCTGAAACTTTGGAAAAACAAATTGGCCTACATGAACTAGTATATAAACAAGAACTATTAGAAATGAAAGCTATAACAGACACAAATGAAACAAAATTAGAAAGTGAACAGACAGAATTTAAAGCAGAACTTGAAGAAGTAAATATTGGCAACCTTTGGAATGAAGAACAGAGTAACATAGTCCAGGAAGAATTGAAACCCAAGGATAAAACAGAGGTTGAACTTAATAATGATTTAAAGGTGACAGATACATTAGAATGTCTTAAGATTGACTCTTTATTAAATGATACGCAGGTACACGAGAATATTATTGAAAGTTGTATCACAAGTCCATCAGAGAATGGCAGTCAACAAGAAACAAGTCCATCAGAGAATGGTAGTCAAAATGATTTAATAAGCCCATCAGTGAATGGCAGTGATGATTTAATAAGTCCATCAGAGAATGGCAGAAATCATGATAAACTAATGATGATTAATGAATCAGTGAACTTAATAAGCCACAATGATGAGAACGTACCTATTGAGGAGTTACTTAAAAAATTGGAGTCAAACTATAAAGAAGATATACTAGAACTCAAGAATAAATTTAACAAAGAAATGGAGAAATTAACCCAGAAATTTATGTGTGAACTAGAATCAATAAAGAAGCACAAGGAAGTTAAGAAAGATGAAAAAATATCTACAAACTACAATGTCAATAAATTACAAACTGACAGTAAAAGAAACGTATCAAACTATGAATACGGTCACCATGTTAATAAAAATGCACAGAATGAAAGTAAAAGAAATGTAGCAAACTATGAATACAGTCAACATGTTAATAAGAATGTCATTAATGTCATTAATGCACAGAATGAACGAAAAAGAATTTTAGCAAACTATGAATACGGTCACCATGTTTATAAGAAGCCAAAATCTAGATGTTTTTACTGCGGAAAAACAGGTCATTACCAAAATCAATGTTGGCATAGGTTGGCAAATCAGAGAAGAAACAATTATGTACTCAGAAAGTCATGTGAGAAATACAGTAATTTAAGGAATAATGTATCAAGTTCAAATCAGAATAACAAAAGTGTGAATAGGTATACTAATGGAAGTTACCGACGCAACACATATTATGAGAGGCCAAAGCAATGCCATAATATTTATATTGAGTTGGTTGATGAACCAAACGAACGTACACAAAGCAAGATAACTACTGACGTTGTTCAGAAACCAGAGGAGAATATTAAAACAAATGAAGTAACACAAGTTACACGAAATCTAGGAAACGATTATGGTAGCACAGCTAAAAGCTACAATTTGAGGGAGAGATGGCATACAGGTCATCGTCAACTGCACGAGAACGATTACTCATGCTATAGAGGATGCTAAGATAAATTATCAATTGACAGTTTATTAATATTATACAGTCTGTAACTGTAATATATAAATATCAAATAATGGGTTTGAGTAAACATAAATTGTGTACTATATCTAAAGAATGTAAACTGTATTATGTTAAACCTATTCTATACTATTAATTAACAGAAAATAATGTATAAAGTAAAAGTTAGAGACTATTTATTCCGCATAACAATAAGACGGAAGTCTCAATGATGAATTGAATTGTGTATTAGTCATACCTGTGAAAGGCAGGAATGTGGTTGTGTTGTGACCTAGATATGACTGAAATGGGTCAAATAGGGGAGACAACAAAGTATATTACTCATGCGTGGTAATAACATACCTTGATGATAAGGAAGTTTTTTTTTTACCACATAGGATATAGTTATTTAAATTAGGAGTTGAATTATGTCTTTGATAATTTCAACTATGTGTTATGTTTTGGAATTAAGTCCTGTACCAAATTAGTTTGGTATATTATTTATCCCAACTGATGTAGTTTTTTTACAGTTACTGGGTAATTGAAATGTTTTTTTTTCTCCTATGTGAATGCATATTGATGCATTAAATATTACATATAATGCTTGTACATTTAAAGTTTTTGTTCAAAACACTGACATATTTTAATTATCACTGATATAGTCACTACATACTGTTGTATTTGTATGCACTATAAATTTATGACTACAAGTGCTTAGTCTAAAATGAATATATTTTACTCTACTTTGAATTGTACACAATTTTTTGTTGTCTGGCACATGATCCTGCCCCACCAATACTGTATTTATAAATTTTGTTGTCTGGCACATGATCCTGCCCTACTAATATTGTATTTATAAATTTTGTTACACAAAATTTTATTCGAAGGGGGGACGTGTCACAGACTGTATTATTATGTATCTTTATTATATTGTGTTTTGCATGAATGAAGAGTACCTGGCTAGCGGAAGGACTGTCTGAGCGATCGTCATGTGTTTTTCCGTGTTTTGGGTGAGATCGCTCATTGACGTAAGGGGAGAGAAAGTGGTGAATAAAAGGGAGAGCAAAAGGTGAACGGGTGTTGTGTGCTAGGACTTGGGACTGGAACGATGGCAGGGAATGTAAGATGTCTCCATGACTTGGAGTCGTGATTATTATTTGTACCTATATCAGTTGATCTTCAAATATGGATGTACCACGGATTTATCTGTACATAGTGTAAATAAAGTTGTCATTTGAAGTTGCCACTGTTGCTCGTGTTCCTGTATGAAAGCTAACCCACAACAACAGAGAATTCATACATGTTGTTACAGATACAAAAAAACACATACTAGTATATATTTCCCTTTCTTTAACAATGATGTGACCAAGGGACAGAACTTAATGTTTTGTTGTTTATTCTTTTAAATATAAAACAAATTCCATAGCAACAGCATAAAAACTACAAATAATTAAAGTTTACAATAAAAGTATGTAACGTCACTTATAATTGCTTTGCAACTATTATAATTTTAAAGCTTCTGATTGTTAATTGACGTTAGATCAAACAAGAAACCTTTACTTATTTTACATAATTATTTTTTGAAATATTAAATGTTACCTGTGATGGATGCTATTTAAACGTTAGAAACCATCTAGGTCTACAGTTGCTCTTCTTTTTAAATTTAATGAAAAATTACAGTTTAAATCTGTATCAGTCCTCACAAGCCGATGATAAAAACTGAAATGCTACAGCGAGCATGCAAACTGACGCTGTAAATTACATGTCTGAGGCAAAAAAAAAAATAGAAGAAAAAAAAAATGATAGTTAGTTACTTTATAAATGTTTAAAAGATATTTAAAAATAACCTGGTAGTGATCTCCCTTAAACTTTCTCGAATAATTATATTACACTACGAGGGATGACAACTAGGGAAATGGAAATGATTTTTACAAGCTTTTATTTCTTCTTTTTAGTGCATTTATAAAAAGCTTGTAATTATAAACGTTTTTATATAATTATTATTAATCCATTTTTACTTACAGCACTCAAGTTATAGGCTTATGAAAAATTGAAAGTAGAATAAGCTCCACTTCCGGTTACCGGACAACACTGAACAGATCTAGCAGAGAATATTCACAGTTTAGATATAAGCACAACTATGTTAAAAAATTATGTAATTTGCCAAAAAAAAAAATTAGCATTTTTGTCCGTGTGATAAGGGTGAGGTGAGGATCAAAGTTTAGCTAGTGTAAGCTTACTCAAGCACAAGCATGTAATGACCAGAAGAGCGAGACAACTGATCACTCAGTCTTTCTTCCAGACTTTTTTCTCCGGGGGGGGGGGGGGGGTGACTTAAATTTCCGGGGTGGGGGACGTCGACGACGACGGATATTTTCTATATACATTCCATTTCGTTCGTGGCTTGGCCGTTGATCATTAGCAGCTAAACAACTGGTAGTGACGTGTTGTTTTGAGTGTCATTTCCTTTACCTAGACAGAATTAATACAACTAAAGTAGCCTACTAGTTAAGGATTAATATTTGTAGATATATGTTGAATAGGAATGCTAAAATGTCACCATCATTTCTCGTTCGTTCTAAAGCCAATTTGGGCAGGAACAATATCGTTCATTTGTTTCAATTACCACAATAGTGTAGTCATCACTATACCTACCCGCTTTTGTTTCCCTATCGTGAGTCAGGTACCAATCGGAGCTGGGTGGATTTTGGACGTCGTACAGACTTGGGATCCAAACTCGAGACTTACGGCTTAGCAGTCTTAAGCTCTATCCCCCCACCACGCCGTCCCCATATCTGCAATATACCTACCAATTCATTTCAGCAAGGATTGTGTTAAGAAAACTGTACGCTAAGAAAGACATTGTTCTTTATCTCTACAAACGACTATCATTTTTTTCTTGCACGAAATAAACGAAGGTCTCCATTTTTTTCTGATCGAAAATCGCAGCACTTATCATGTAGGGCCATAGTTTGCATAATAAAAAAGGAAGATTATGTGAAATAGAAACTTTTAGTTCAACCCACTTTTGGTTTAATTGTAACAATAATCATAAAGAGAAACATTCATCATGAAGCTTGCAGCTCTATTGTCGTTATGTGCCCTTCTTGCCTGTAAGTTTTGAAAAGAAAACTATTCGTTTTACTTTAATATTGATATTGTTTTTGAAAATTTTTAAATTAAAGATCGTAAGCACAACTAATCAAAATAAATTGATTTCGTAAATATCTAACACGCTATTAAACTTAAAAGCTATGTCATATTTAAACTGAAGAAACTATCAAATGAAGGTATATCTAGTCTAGATGAACCCCGAAATGTTTGGTAAAATGCCGTCTGTATTCGGTGTGCTGTTTAATTGTATGTAACAGTGTGTTATGTTGGGTAAGGTGTGGTGAAAGGTGTGCATGAAAGGTGTGTATGTGAAATTAAGTACTTTACATTTGTTTGTGTGAGCATGTGTGTGTAGTGTGTGTGTGTATGTGTGTAGCGTGATTATTGTATTGTTAGACAATGTTTAGTCCTGGTTTTGACTGTGCGGGTTAAGGACAAAAAAATATGGTGACAACCCCCATCTATACTCACGTATCAGCAGCCCTCCTCACCCCCTCCCCTTTTGTACTCTAGTATCATCAGCCGCCATCACACCCCCGCTGCTGTTTGGCACCTGTGTGGAGATGTGCAGTTCCAGCCTCCTGCTACGCTCTGTTGGTTACCGCAGGTGTGCTGAGGGCTACGAGTGCATGTCTAACGGTTGTGGTCACACGTGTCAGCCCGTCTTAGGTGAGTACAACATGGGGTGACTCATTTCTTTCATTATCCCCATTCTATAATTAATTTGGTCCAGATAATCATACACAGATAAACTAAACAAGCAACAGAGACAATATATAAATACACACAAACGTATATAATGGGACCGCGTGGTCGAATGGTTCAGACCCGCACTGTAGGTAAGACTTCACTGAGTTCACCTAGCTCTCCTGGGAACCTGACTTTAGTTGGGGAAAGTAAAGGCGGCTGATGAGCATTGTGTTGACCACATTATCCCTTCATATGTCGAGGGCAGAAATCATGAATTCTTCCTTTTCCAATTGTATCGGTAGGAGTCTACTTATATATATATATATATATATATATATATATATATATATATATATATATATATATATATATATATATATATATATATATATATATATATATATATATATATATATATATATATATATATATATATATATATATATATATATATATATGTATATATATATGTATATGTATATATATATATATACACACACAAATACATACACATAAACGCACGCACGCAATCACGCACTCTCTCTCACACACACACATATATATACACACACACACACATATATATATATATATATATATATATATATATATATATATATATATATATATATATATATAATATTGTTTCAAATTCAAATTAATAATTTGCTGCTGTATTTTGAGTTAGAAAGCTTTAATTTTCTCTTGTTAAACACAGACAATAACATATTCACTACAACGTCATCAGATAAACTTAACATCACGTGACCTAATCTAACCCACAGTTGGTAAACGAGCATGCGGTCCAGTCTGCGACATCTACTGTATCTATGGCAACGTGATGGTCAATGGCTGCCCTACCTGCGCCTGTAATCGTGATCCTTTGATCCCTCTCTAGGAAAATGTAGACCGGTCTTCTACGCAAATTTGGATCCTAGATGATGCTTTGTTCTTGTTTGTGTAGCAATAAAAAAATCTTTAATTTAACAACATTTAATCTTACATATGATATTTGCTGATATAGAATCTTTAATTAGATTAATGTTACATCTTAATCGATGAATGGCAGTTGTTTTTCAAAAAGCACGAGTCAGAAAAATCTGTAGGTTTAGAAGTGCATAGTGTAACTCTCAGCACTGTTTTTAATCCTAGCGGCAGTAGAGGATTAAATACATTATTCGATGAATTTTTAATCTGATAGTAATTTTTGTGCAACAAAAGTGTCACTTAAAGCACACATGCTTGCAAAAGAAGTGCTTGAAATAGCCGTGCTTGCAGTAGCTATGCTTGTAGTAACCATGCGTGCAGTAGATATGCTTGTATTAGTCATGCTTGTACTAGCTATGCTTGTAGTAGCCATACTTGCAGTAGCAATGCTTGTATTAGTCATGTGTGTAGGAGACAATTTGATTGTGGTAGTCAATAATTAGTTTAATCTTGGATGTAAATGAGCGATGACTGTGTTGAAGTAGCCCATCCAAATAAAGTGGGTGGACACCTCACACAGGTATGTGACGTCACAACCTTAAGGCAGCTGGAGCAGCCAGTCACTGAAGCGTGTCGGCAGGTAGGAGACGGGCAGGTAAAACATTTTGGCGTCAGGTCCAGGTGAGTACCTGGTCCTGGGAAACATGGAGGTCAGGCCGTGGATGTAGTCGTCCACCACAAGGTCGATGTTGGTGTTGCTGGAAGCGACAACTTTGGAAATATGTTCTTCTACTGAAAAAATGGCAGAAACAAATTTTTATTATCATTATTTTTTGCTGAATATATCCACTTAAGTATGTAAAAATGTAACTATTTGAAAACAAATATAAAAACTTCGATGTTCTTGTATGGTTTGGCAGAGTGTCGTTAAATATTGGTAATAAAAATTATGCTATGGTAAAACTCATGCTATGCTCAATATTATTTCTAAACAATAAATTTATACATTCCCATGTCAGTTCTGTTCTATTAAGTATTAATTCTTATTTTTATTACAATGGTATTATTTAATTATTTAAATGATGTAATTTGCCTTATAAAAAAAAACAACAAAAAAAAAACAAACACAAACGCACCTACCAATTACTCAGATATCCTAGCAGAGAAAAATATATTTTACGAGCCGACCCGCGGCGTATCACACGCCGCTATTAAGTTTTATTTTCTACTTTGCAGTAATTCATAATTTGTGAATTCGACAGTACCAATGCTGTCACTAAAAATATTTGCTTTAAAACACTAAAACCCTCCTCCCTCCCCCCCACCCTGAAAGCAGCATCCTCTTAGTTACCTCACCTAAGTTTTAAAATAGTTTCAAACTAAATTATCTGCCCCTAATAGGCGTCACTAAACCCGGCTCTTAGATTGTAAACATTTAGCGTGAACTACAGCTCACCAGACCATGTTGGGGTGGGGGTGGATGCGATATGTTTAGAGAGGAAGAGTGGGGACTGCAAGGCGCGCTTACAGCTTGTTTTCTAACGTCTCCAAGAAGAGAATTATATTTATAGATCCACATCTCCTCCCTGTACGGTTGCATATTGCTAAATGTGTTGACGCAGTATATAAATATAACTCTACCGTTAACGAATCAACCACAACACCATTTAGTACACAACAAGTCTCAACTCACAGCTAGAGACCACAGTCTTGTACGTATCCTTGACTTCAGCTGTTGCCTCGCTGAAGGCCGACTTCACGTCTCCGACGATTTTCTTGACATCAAATATAGGCGTCTTGAACGCCCCGGGCTCAATCAGGATCACCCTCACCCCTCTGTTGTATAGCTCACGTCTGTAAGAATTGTAAGGAGAAAAAGGGAAGTTAAAGAACTGTTGAACACATTTTAATAAAACTATAGGTACTTAGTTTTTCTGCTAAACATATGATTAATTTTAGTTTTGTAAAACATTTACATATTTAATTACTAAGAAGATCTATGTCTGACTTACCTGAGAAGGTCCATAACTTACTTAAGAAGATCAATATAATTTACGTGAAAAGACCCATAACTTACCTGAGAAGTTCCATGACTACCTGAGAAGATCCATAACTTACCTGAGAAGATCCATGACTTACCTGAGAAGATCCATAACTTACCTGAGAAGATCCATGATTCACCTGAGAAGATCCATAACTTACCTGAGAAGATCCATGATTCACCTGAGAAGATCCATAACATACCTGAGAAGATCCACTACTTATCTGAGAAGATCCATGATTCACCTGAGAAGATCCATGACTTACCTGAGCAGATCCATATAACCCTCCAATGCGAATTTCGACACCGTGTAAGGGGACGCGAAAACGGCGATTCTCCCAAGCATGCTTGTTATTGTTACAATCCGACCACCCGCCTTCCTCAGAAGAGGTAGAAACGCCTTTGACACGTTCATAGCACCAAACAAGTTGACAGAAAACACCTGCATATAATCTTCAGTGCTACAGAGTTCACTGGCTCCCATCATGCCTACTATACCGGCATTGTTAACCAAGCCCCACAGACCTATGGACCAAGTGCCAAATAGATTTGTTATCTAACAGAGAATAAACTTTTAGTTTAGTTCATTGTTTAAAATAAAAGTTTAATCACTTAAGAATTTGTAAGAAAAACGTTTCACATTACTCGTAGCATAAATAGAGACTCACATAAACTGGTTTTATGCCCATAAATATATTTCAGCTGAATCGCAGTGAGTCACATTTCTTGGTGGCTTTTGTGTTACCCATCATTGATCAAGCTGTGTTGCCTAGCTTGTTTTTAAACATGTTTCCATAGCCAAATTTATGTTGCAATTTAACGACTAGTTTTAATGGCTTTTGATATCTATAAGACGATGACTAAACTCACAAGGGAGATAACTATATGAGATGGTTCAGGTTACGGTAGCGGTCCCTGTTCTGTTGTAATTAGAAACCGTGTTAATATGGTGAGCTGTGCTCATTGTAAGATGGGGTTCTGGCAGAGGCCAGTTCGATTAACGATTAATTAGAGTTAATCCACCTATATTGATAACATCTTTAATATTAACTGTACACACTTTAAAACTATCACAAGTGGGGGGGGGGGGAGGGGGGGGAGGGTGTAACATCAACTCAGAGGCGTAGCGACCCTTCCCGGCGCCCGGGGACATACTTTCAATTTGGCGCCCCCTTGGGAGCAAATTTTCGATTTGCACCCCCCCCTCGAACTTTTCATTTGCACCCCCCCTCAAACTTTCGATTTGCACCCCCCCCCCCCCCGTCGAACTTTTCATTTGCACCCCCCCCCTCAAACTTTCGATTTGCACCCCCCCTCGTCGAACTTTTCATTTGCACCCTCCCCCCTCAAACTTTCGATTTGCACCCCCCCCTAGAACTTTTCATTTGCACCCCCCCCCCTCAAACTTTCAATTTGGCGCCCCCCCCCTAAGGTCGGCGCCCGGGGACATATGTCCCCCCCGCCCCCCCCCCCCCCCCCCTCGCTACGCTACTGCATCAACTACAAACTTTACAGAAGGAAAAAAAGTTTCGTTGAGTATTTTGAATTAACTAATAAGTCAGTCAACGACCGGGGAGGGGTTGAAAACGACATCTAATAATTTACGATGGAAACTATGCTTTTTCCACATGAATGAATTGGTGGATTAATATAATGTGCACACATTGACGCCGTTAGGTAAAATGGGAGGGGTCACACCTATTGCTACAATATATATATATATATATATATATATATATATATATATATATATATATATATATATATATATATATATATATATATATATATATATATATATATATATATATATATATATATATATATGTCATATACTTTTTTGGGGGGAGGGGAGGTAACACCATGAGGTGCCGCACCGGGTGACACCCGACCTAGCGACGCAGCTGGGTTCTGGTACAACACTGTTACCTATGTACCAACCTATCTCTACAACTACAACTAATACTTGACTTCTCCCTACACACTCCCATGACCATCCCTAACACTATCTACACTCTAACCCTCTACATCATTCCCCTACCGCTACCTATCTTTAGCTGCTGACCCACACTTCACTGGTCATTTGACCGTCTCACGTGACCGGTCATCACCTGTAATTCTATTGGTCTACCTTGCTACGCTATGCTGTGTTTCTGCTATCTTCTACTTAACCTATATAACTTAAACGTGTCATTAGACTTGATGAGAACGAGTGTCCTTGTAGTTAAATTTTTTTATAATATAAAATAACAAAACGATAACACCAATACATTTAAAAAAAAAAATTAGTTTTACCCGTATTTTCTGGCAGTGATCTTTTAACAAGGCCCAGTGCATCTTGGATGCTTTTAGTTTGTGTCACATCCAAATGTACCGTCACAAGACGTTTGGAGCAGTTGGAGCTTAAATATTTTCTTCCTTCATCTGTCAGACATCCAGCAAATACGTGGAAACCTAGGCCGTCTAGACGGCTAAAGAAAACGTGAAAGCTAACATTATGTTATTTATACAGCAAAGTATATAAATGGGCTACGACATTTAGGCTCCCGACTTATGAACTACCGACATTAAGGCTTTCGACAAGTGGGTTAACAACATATTGGTGCTAATAAAATGACTTCCGACATAATGGCTCTTGACAAAATGACTTTCGACATATTGGACAATATGTAACCAGTTTACCAACCCACCAACAGCACTAACAGTCAGAGTTTCTTCCAGGCATCTCTTCGAAGAAATTCTAACGCCCACCCGAACGAAATGGAGTTTATATAGAAAAGATATACTTTTGACAGCCCCCCCCCCCGGAAATTGTTGTCCCCCCCCCCCCACCCCGAAAATTTAAATTTCAAGTGCATCCCCGGAGAAAAAAGTCTGGAAGAAACACTGCTAACAGTGTCCTGATAAAGAATTAGTGCTTGTGCACTTAGATAAGTTAATACCTCTTTTAATACGTCATATACTTAATATACGAATTATGTGAAATACTTCGCGATGTGCCCTTTTAAAAGGTTACTGATAACCCTTTTCTAAAGCAATAAAAGAAAACAAAACTTACATGGCTAGTCGCTGTCCGAAGCCCGAGTCACATCCGGTAACAAAAACATACTTGTTGCCATAGTTACCGACCTTTAAACACCTGAGAACTTTATCGAAGAACAAATAGGTCGTTGCCAGCAGAACCACGCAGCTGACCACATACAACATGACGGAGCGTCCTACCCAAAAGCCGGACGTCAAATAAAATAACCTCTCAGACCTGGCTTCTATAACACACCTATGACTTACACGCATGGTAGATTTCTTTCGATCCAGTTTTTTTTATCTTGCTGCCAGTTTGGTGTACTTCCAGCGAATCAGACCGTGGTAAAAGTTAAGTGCCGGCCTTACTTAGTGCTGACAAGGCTAGAACGGTATATTTTAACCATTTCGTTTATCAAACCGTGACCTTGACATGTACTTTCGAGTTGTTGGTTGAAAACGGTTTGAGGTATTCCATACACGATCAAAAGTTGATGAAGGATTCGCCCCATCGTGTCATCATCATCATCATCTTTTTCCCGTTCGTGACCAAGACACATGAAGTAGAGTACGCCTGTTTCTGTGACCTCGTTATACATGAGATAATGTGGTTATCACTATGCCCAACCGCCTTTATTTCCTTAGCGTGAATTACGTACCTGGGTGGACGCAGGGACGTTCAACTGACAAGAACTTAGATTTGAACTCGATACTTTTGGGTTAAAATTATAACAGTATGGCGCTCTACCACTAAGCCTAGCCTCCCTACCCGACGTTTTATACCTTAAAAAGCCAAGTTTTACAACCGTCTGTCTGTCTGTCTGTCTGTCTGTCTGTCTGTCTGTCTGTCTGTCTGTCTGTCTGTCTGTCTGTCTGTCTGTCTGTCTGTCTGTCTGTCTGTCTGTCTGTCTGTCTGTCTGTCTGTCTGTCTGTCTGTCTGTCTGTCTGTCTGTCTGTCTGTCTGTCTGTCTGTCTGTCCGAGTGATTTAATGTGCCTAATTGATTTAAATTGGCTAAATGATTTAAATTGGCTAAGTGATTGGCTAAGTGATTTAATGTAGATTATTGTTCACGTTGGTTACGCTTACTATTTGTATTATTTTCTTTCGTACAAACTAAAACTCCTGTTAATAAGCAATCAAAATTCTAATATCAGGCCAACTTAATAAATAGCTTTTAAACTTATACGATTCTAGGCATTTTAGTTGAGCCTCCTTTTGCTAAACGATTGGCTGCCATTTTATCAAGAGCGTATTTAAAAATAACTCCACAGTTTAATCAGCTATTAATTGCTTGCATGAAAGAAGATAATATTGTGATGTACATTATCACGCCTTATGTATGCAGTATAAAACAGTTTTCAAATAAAGAATGTTTTAAATTAAAATAGGCCAATGTTTGAATATCAATATGCTTTGCGTTTATGTTTTTTTTTAAAATTAACATTAAAACTCGAACCCTAATCCATTTATAAAGCGTGTTACGTAAAGCCCTTTAACTGCGTTAGTGTGTTTATCAGTGCATGCTGCAGTGTTAGTTATTTTATTTACACGCTTCGCCAACCAGCTTTAGTATAGTACATTGCGATAACAACGGGCTACAGTCCTGTGCTAGCGACTGCTACATGTAGCCGTGTCAGAGAACATTGCCACCATGTTGTGTGTGTTCAGCTGTGTAATTCTTCTCGTCATCACGTATTTGTTCTTAGACAGGGTCCTGACAGTGTTTCTTCCAGACTTTTTTCTCCGGGGGGGCACTTGAAATCTTCGGGGGGGCGGTAAACTTTCTTCGGGGGGGCGGACACTGTTAAAAGTATATATTTTCTATATAAATTATATAAATTTCATTTCGTTCGGGGGGGCGGTAAAAAATTTTCGGGGGGGCTTCGCCCCCCCGAAGAGATGCCTGGAAGAAACTCTGGGTCCTGAGGGCCCTGAAGGTCGGTAACCATGGCAACAAGTACGTTTTCGTCACGGGATGTGATTCGGGGTTCGGCCAGCGGCTCGCTGTGTAAGTGTTTGTTTACGTTTTGAATGGTCATCTTCACATCGAAGCTAAGTGAACTTTAAACTTTGAATGTTTTACGATTTAACCACGATATTCTTAACCGTGTAGGCCTACTAAAACAAAGAACTCATATATGAATCATCGTTGTTTAAAGATTTAGCTCTGCGGTTAATTTAATAAATTTTAATATAGAATCGATAGCTAACACACTTTCTGGACATTAGTGATGTATCCTTGACTGAACCTAACCCCTATCAGAACCCCAAACAACCAGAAAAGATTATGTCTAAATATAACTCTAAACCCAATGGAAAAAATCCCTTAAGTAGGTCACGCTCCACCACACAGCGTGAAGGATAAGCAGTACAGAAATGTCTTTAATAGGTGATGCATACCCTCCATAACAGAAGCAGAAACATCTCTAATACAAGGTCAAGCTTTTAAAATTCATGAACATAATTTTTAAGTACATACGTTCTCTCTACAACGATAGTAAAAAATGTATTTACTATTTCAATTGTTCTTGTACTTATTTTACACTTTATAATATTTAGAATCGTAAATATTTAAATAAACCAATTTTAAAGTTTTAAATACAAATTCGTTAAAAAAATGTTCTTCTATTTAGTTCAGTTTTTAAATGAAGTCTACACCCTACATTACTAAATGATATTTACATATACGATCGTAATTCTAAAAGACAAGTAACTGCACCTAATTCGTGTTAGGAAACTTTCGCGAATGTAACGGATCTTAGTCAGCTGATTGTTACATTAATAACAACAAGAACTCGCTTTAAAATTGTAGGCTCGACCCACGTTCCCTTTAAGTAATAAAAATATTAGCGTAGCGACCCTTCCCGGCGTCCGGGGACAAACTTTCGATTTGCACCCCCCCCCCCCCCCTCAAACTTTTGATTCACACTCCTCTCAAACTTTCGATTTGCAACCCCCCCTCGAACTTTTCATTTACACCCCCTCAATTTGTTTTGACAACCCATTTCGGCGCCCCCCCCTAAGGTCGGCGCCAGGGAACATATGTCCCCCCCAACCCCCCCCCCCTCCCCCCGCTACGCCTCTGGATGACCATTTGATCTATGTAAGTTACTGGTTATTAACCTACGTAGATCTAACGGCCATCTTGTGTTTTTAGCCGTCTAGACGGCCTAGGTTTCCACGTATTTGCTGGATGTCTGACAGATGAAGGAAGAAAATATTTAAGCTCCAACTGCTCCAAACGTCTTGTGACGGTACCTTTGGATGTGACTAAAGGGGAGAGTATCCAGGCAGCGCTACAGCAGGTCAAAGGGACGCTACCCGAAAATACTGGTATATCTTTATTAATGTTTAAATAGTTTATGCATTTTTGAAGTATTCAGAATGTCTATCATTTTCAAATGCACCTTAAATATATGTCGAAACAGCTTTTTCACTTAGCCTTATTAATATAGATTCTTCTGTTTATTATTGTTTTGCAGTTGATCTTTAAAAACACATCATTACCATCTTAACTTTCTATAGAAATATTATTTTAAATCAGCTTTTAATGTTGAATCGGTGTTATTTACAGTGTCTTTGTTGAAATTTCTTGTTTGAATTTAAAACGGGGACAATAAAATAATAACACGGGCGTGAGTTTCATTAAGCCCCAAACTCGCCCGTATGCCGAGAGCCATATTGCAGTGAACGCATTAGCAGAACAAGAAAAATAAATTTCACATAAAAATTAAAAAAAAAAAACATACAAAATCAAATAGCATTGTATACTCCAGACCTTAGGTAATATAAGATTATTTTGAGTGTTAAAGCAATTCTTGCTACGGTAACAAATTGTGTTGTTATTTTGTTTGCCTTTTAAAACTAAGTGCTTAACGAAAAAAAAAAAGAAAAAAAAACGTTTTGAAAAAAAAACTTTTATAAATAAGCCCTAATAAGGAGAAAATAAATGATTTTCTTTAATATATAATTATACACTATTATTTAAAAGATTATAAATGAAGCATGGGTCTCTTCCTAAATAGTAGTAAAGGTATACAATAGATAATATAGTAACCCACACTTTTCTTTAGAGTTCTTTTAATTGTAGTGTATTCTTATATCTTTAAAAAAATATTTCCTCCATTTTAGTGCATTAATGCATAAAAGCTTGTTATTAAAACATTTTAATGCATTTTTAAAATTGATACCATCAATACTTAAATCTCTTTTAATACAATAGTATTTAATGACCAAAACAATTGCGTACCAAATGAACATGAACAATATGCGTATAATAATATATATGTGCAGTAAATACTACGTTATAATGCAAGCTTAAATAACTCTTTACACGTTAATAAAGCACCCAATTAAGTCGTATTTGATGTCAAATTGCAATATCATTGGATCTTGAACTACGAGCCAAGTTTGAAACGAATCGGTCTGTTAGAAATGATCGACATTTCTCTCGGCAGTTTAGCTTCATGTCGAGAAAAGTACGACAGACAGACCGAGGAGTCAAGTTAACACAAAGTGTGTATTGATACAATTGCGTCAAATTTTCCCACAAAAGACTACAAACGTATCTCCTTGATTAAAAAAATAAAAAACATGTAGTTTTCAATTAAAAACAGCTAGCAACGTTTCTTTTTACACTGTTGCTCAAGACTAAAAATTTCGTGCGTGGCAAACTATTTTTCCTATATTAATTTTAAGTGGCATTTTACTTTCTTCCCAGGACTGTGGGGATTGGTAAACAACGCTGGCATCGTTGGCTTGTTCGGATTCAGTGAAATATGTAGCATTGACGACTACATGAAGACGCTCTCTGTGAATCTGTTTGGTAGTATAGAGATGTCAAGGGTGTTTCTTCCTCTGCTGCGAACAGCGGGTGGTCGGATAATCACAACAACGAGTAGTGCTGGCCGACTGGCTTTTACTGCTTCACCGTATACGGTGTCGAAGTTTGCTCTGGAGGGTTACATGGATCTTCTCAGGTAAGTCATGGATCTTCTCAGGTAAGTTCTTTTAATCTTCTCAGGTAAGTCATGGATCTTCTCAGGTAAGTTCTTTTAATCTTCTCAGGTAAGTCATGGATCTTCTCAGGTAAGTTCTTTTGATCTTCTCAGGTAAGTAATGGATCTTCTCAGGTAAGTTCTTTTAATCTTCTCAGGTAAGTCGTGGATCTTCTCAGGTAAGTCATGGATCTTCTCAGGTAAGTCATGGATCTTCTCAGGTAAGTTCTTTTGGATCTTCTCAGGTAAGTCATGGATCTTCTCAGGTAAGACATGGATCTTCTCAGGTAAGTCATGGATCTTCTCAGGTAAGACATGGATCTTCTCAGGTAAGTCATGGATCTTCTCAGGTAAGACATGGATCTTCTCAGGTAAGTCATGGATCTTCTCAGGTAAGTTCTTTTAATCTTCTCAGGTAAGTCATGGATCTTCTCAGGTAAGTCATGGATCTTCTCAGGTAAGTCATGGATCTTCTCAGGTAAGTCATGGATCTTCTCAGGTAAGAGATGGATCTTCTCAGGTAAGTCAGACGTGGATCTTCTTAGGTACGTTAAACATGGATCTTCTTACGTAAGCCAAACGGAACTTCTCAGGTAAGTAAAATGGATCTTCTTACATAAGGTAGATATGGATCTTCTCAGGTAAGTCAGACACGTTTCATTTTGAGACAAGGATCTTCTTAGGTAAGACGGACAGGAATTTGTAAGCAAAAGCTAAAAACAAATCTTCAGCATATCTGCTTAAGTAAATTTTAAACTAATACTCAAAACAACATGTTACTTTAAAAGTGAATAAATTCTTCAGACGTGAGTTGTACAACAGAAAGGTCAAGGTTATTCTTGTTGAGCCCGGGGGGTTCAAGACTCCTCTGTTTGTGGCGGACAAGATACTGGCTGAACTAAAGGCGCTTTCAACAAAGTCACGGATGAAGTGAAGACATGTTACAAAGACTTTATTCCTACTTGTAAGTACCTACACGTGGAGCAGTCATAATAATAAATCTATTCAGGGGCGTAGCGAGGGGGGGGGGTGCGGGGGGGGGGGGGTGGACCGCACGGGGTGATACCATTTAGGGGGGTGATACCAAGACAAAAAATAGCAAAATATATAGAGAAAAACTTGAGGGGGGGTGCAAATCGAAAGTTTGAGGGGGGGGGGGGGGTGCAAATCGAAAACTTGAGGAGGGGGGGGGGGTAAATCGAAAGTTTGAGAGGGGGGGTGCTAATCGAAAACTTGAGGGGGGTGTGTAAATCAAAAGTTTGAGAGGGTGGGGTGCAAATCATCGAAAATTTGAAAGTTTGTCCCCGGGAGGGGTCGCTACGCCTCTGGGGGGGGGGGGGGGTTGACACCATTAAGTGCCGCACCGGGTGACACCCGACCTCGCTACGTCACTGAATCTGTTATGTCTATAATGACGTGGTTCTGAGGTAGAGCGCAGAATTTCTTGCTCTAAAAGTGTCGTCCCTGGCTTAAGGCTTTAGCATGTCCGTGAGACCATCAAGAGAAAGTAAAGGCGCATGGCGTAGAACTTCTTCTACCATATTCGACCACAGAAACATTAAGGGTAGAGTTACGTTTTATGATTATGATAAAGACATTAACATTGAAAAGTATATTGAGTATATTTCAGTAGTTCAAAGATACAGTAGTTTTGAGTTTCATCCGTAATTTCAGATAACTATGAATGTTTAATCTTGCAGTCTCTAAACGTTATTAAGTTGTTTTTTTTAAAAAAACAACATTTTGAAAAGCTTTATTTTTTTCAAAGTGGAAGGTCATCTGTTCAGCAATAAAGGTTTCCGAAATAAAAGCATTGACATGGTAGTGGACGACTACATCCACGGCCTGACCTCCAGGTTTCCAAGGACCAGATACTCACCTGGCCTGGACGCCAAGTTTCTTTACATCCCACTCTCCTACCTGCCGACACGCTTCAGTGACTGGCTGCTACAGATGCCGTAGAATTATTTGAGTGTGAATAATAAAGACGAACCGAGAAATATTCAGATTTTTTTCACAGGTCAAATACTTGGTAACAGTGAATGAAAAATGTATAACAAGTTATGATTACTCACTTATATATATATATATATATATATATATATATATATATATATATATATATATATATATATATATATATATATATATATATATATATGAGTAATCATTTATATATATATATATATATATATGAATAGTCATATGTATATATATATATGTATATATATATATGTATATATATATATGTATATATATATATATATATATATATATATATATATATATATATATATATATATATATACATATATATATATATATATATATATATATATATATATATATATATATATATATATATATATATATATGAGTAATCATAACCAACACAGACATATGTACGTATGTGTTGGTTATGATTATTCATATATATATATATGAAAGCATATATATATATATATATATATATATATATATACACATATATATATATATATATATATATATATATATATATATATATATATATATATTGTAAAATATATGTATATCTATTATCTGTGTTGGTTATTTTATTGACCGAAACCCACTGTACAAATATTTTTTACCTTTTACATGATGTTTACATGATACTTTCTTGCTTCCATGTAGAACTTGACATATTCATTCATAAATAGCTTTTATGACTTGGTTTACCGATCATACAGTAGGCTAAGTAATATGTAGACTAGAGGAATATAAGGGATGCTTATTCTCATCTATACCTGTAACAATAACTGTCAGTGTTAGCTTTGTCCTGTTAATATTTCGTATAAAGAATTAATTTTGTTGTATTTAATTAAATACAATAAATTAACTTCATTACAAGTAAAATAAAACATCATTTTCAGTTATGTTTTATTACTGTCTTGTTTTATTAGACCTAGGTCAACTGGTTTAAAATAAAATCATTAAAAAAAACACTTAATCGGCAAAGATGAAAGGATGAACATATTAACAAAGACAACGTGTTTTTGAGACTTTGAGTGGGTTAGTCAGTTGTGTGAACTAACCTCATGCCTATGCTAAAAACGTCAATCAAGAGAATTTATTACATGCATAATTGTCGTGTACTTCTTCTTCTTCTTCGTACTTAATCTTTAATGTTGGAATGGACCAAGGCTTATCTGCCAGAGGGTTTGAACTCGAGACTTTTTCGAACTTTTGCCGACTTGAGGCCATTGAGGCCATAGACTCCGAATTCAGCCTGTTCTTTTTGGATTTGCTCATAGCCTTTGTCCAACCAAGAACAAGCTACAAGGCAGTAGTTGTTCCGAGGGTTCGAACTCTAGACTTTTTGGTTTTGCCAACCATGAGCTTTACCGACTCGACCACGCCAACCCTCCCCCCCTGTCGTGGACTAATATGTGGTTAATTATGTGATTTAAGGGTGTGACGCGACCAGCTGAATTTATAGCTACCCTCACACTATACAGAACTAATACGTTACCAATGTAATCATCTGCCGCTAAGACGGAAAGGCATTGGAAGGTACTTTCCAGAGCTGGTTATAAACATACTTATATACATATATACATACACACGTATATATATATATATATATATATATATATATATATATACATATATATATATATATATATATATATATATATATATATATATATATATATATATATATGACATACTTCTATTCGATAGGCTATCATTAATTGTATCATGCAACACGTTAACAAAAATGGCAGAACTAGGTCAACTGGTTTAAAATATTATAATTTAAAAAAAAAAACAACTTAATCGGCAAAGTTTTGGAAACAAATATGAAAAGTAGGGCTGTAAGAATATTGATCAGGGAGTTACTGTAAAGCCACTCAATATTTGTCTAACGAAAGTGAAACATCGGGTTATAACTTAATTAAGCTTAATGAAAATAAATAGATAGATGACCTTAAACAAAACAAAACAAAAATTAACTGTCTAGATTTGCAACTTCCATAACATTGATTCTAAATGTATTTAATTTCGGAATTATTTTTAGGCCAAAAAAAATATTTTTAATAATTACTTTTCCGGTCGCTTTGATTTAAAAAATAAATAAAAATAAAATCTTATCTATGTCAACAATATGAATGGTGGAAGGCTTCTCGTCAACTCGTTAGCGAGTTTAAAAGTACATGCTAGTAATTTGTTTACAATATAAGCTTCGCCATCCAGCTTTAGTATAGTACATTGCGATAACAACGGGCTACAGTCCTGTGCTAGCGACTGCTACATGTAGCCGTGTCAGAGAACATTGCCACCATGTTGTGTGTGTTCAGCTGTGTAATTCTTCTCGTCATCACGTTTTTGTTCTTAGACAAGGTCCTGAGAGCCTTGAAGGTTGGTAACCATGGCAACAAGTACGTTTTCGTTACGGGATGTGACTCGGGGTTTGGCCAGCGACTCGCTGTGTAAGTGTTTGTTTACGTTTTGTCCCGACTAAATGACCATCCTCACAAACTGCTCCCGACGACACTGCCGCCGTTTATGATTATCAGCCTACCTAGATCAAACGGTCATCTTGTGTTTTTAGCCGTCTAGACGGCCTAGGTTTCCACGTATTTGCTGGATGTCTGACAGATGAAGGAAGAAAATATTTAAGCTCCAACTGCTCCAAACGTCTTGTGACGGTACCTTTGGATGTGACTAAAGGGGAGAGTATCCAGGCAGCGCTACAGCTGGTCAAAGGGACGCTACCCGAAAATACTGGTATATCTTTATTAATGTTTAAATAGTTCATGCATTTTTGAAGTTTTCAGAATGTCTATAATTTTCAACGGCACAAACATATTTTTCATGTATATTATTGTAGTTAATAAGTTTATTAATTTTTTGCTCTTAATTTTTACATACACAAAAATGCCATTTAATCAGCAGTAGAAATATAATTTCCATTTGTTTTTATTTAAATTGTTTTTTTTTTGACAGAATTTCGTTCGTTTCTATTTCAGTTTTCCCTTAAAAAGAGGGACAATATCACAGTAAACACAGTGGCGAAAAAAACATTTCACATAGAAAATAAAATTTTATAACATTACTCAGACTACAAAAACAAGACAACTGTTGCATGTTTTTTTTTTAAATTTGTAAACAAAAGTTTATATATATATATATATATATATATATATATATATATATATATATATATATATATATATATATATATATGAAGTATAAACCATGTCGCTGTTAATTCAAAACAGCTCGCAACGTTACTTATTACACTGTCGTCTCTCAATATTTCATTCCCTGACATACAATTTTTTTTCCAATGTTTATTATTAGTGATATTTTACTTTGTTCCCAGGACTGTGGGGATTGGTCAACAACGCTGGCATCATTGGACTGTTCGGATTCAGTGAAATATGTAGCATTGACGACTACATGAAGACGCTCTCTGTGAATCTTTTCGGTAGTATAGAGATGTCAAGGGTGTTTCTTCCTCTGTTGCGGACGGCGGGTGGTCGGATAATCACAACAGATAGTGCAGGTGGTCGACTGGCCTTTATTGCTTCACCGTATACGGTGTCGAAGTTTGCACTGGAGGGTTACATGGATCTTCTCAGGTAAGTTATGGATCTTCTCAGGTAAGTCATGGATCTTCTCAGGTAAATCCTTTGGATCTTCTCAGGTAAGTCCTTTGGATCTTCTCAGGTAAGTCCTTTTGATCTTCACAGGTAAGTTATTTGGATCTTCTCAGGTAAGTCAAGGATCTTTTCAGGTAAATCATGGATCATCTCAGGTAAGTCATGGGTCTTCTTAGGTAAGTCATGCATCTACTCAGGTAAGTCCTTTTGGGTCTTCTCAAGTACATCATGGATCTTCTCAGGTAAGTGCTTTTAGATCTTCTCAGGTAAGACATGGATTTTCTCAGGTAAGACGGACATGAATGTGTAAACAAAACTAAAGCAAAGCTTCATCAGTAAATACTGCATCAGTAAATTTTAAACTAATACTCAATACAACATGTTACTTAAAAAGTGACGAAATTCTTCAGACGTGAGTTGTACAAGAGAAAGGTCAAGGTTATTCTTGTTGAGCCCGGGGGCTTTAAGACGCCCCTGTTTGTGGCAGACAAGGTACTGACAGAACTAAAGGCAGCTTTTAACAAGGTCACGGATGAAGTGAAGACGTGTTACAAAGACTTTATTCCTACTTGTAAGTACTTACTTCTAGCTCTTAAAAGTGTCGTCCCGGGCTAATGTTTGTGGGACCTCCATCAAGGGAAACTAGAGCGCCTGGAGTAGAATTTCTTCTATTAATTTGACCACAGAGACATTAAGGGTAGCATTACGTTTTATGTGTATGATAAAGACATTAATATTGAAAAGTATGTTGACTATGTATTTCAATAGCTCAAATTTGAGTTTTGTTTCGAGAATTAATTTAAAAAAAATACCTGTGTTCTAATATTGCGTTAACTGGCGCCTAACTGTTAAACAGTTTTTTAGAAATTCTATAAAAACAAGGGAACTACATTTTGAAATGTTTATTTTCTTTCGTAGTTGAAGGTCACCTGTTAAATAACGACTTCCACAACACCAACCTTGACATTGTGGTGGACGACTACATCCACGGCCTGACCTCCAGGTATCCTAGGACCAGATACTCACCTGGACTGGACGCCAAATTTATTTATATCCCACTCTCCTACCTGCCGACACGCTTCACTGACTGGCTGCTACAGGCGCCGTAGAATTGTGCGTGTGTGTACAGTAAAAAGGCAACCAAATAATCAGAACGAGCCGGCCCGCGGCATAACATACGCCGCTATTTAGTTGTTTCTAATTTTCAATAATTCATAATTTGTGAATTCGACAGTACCAACGCTGACACTGAAAATATTTCTTTAAAACACTATAAGTAGCTCGTTAAGGACCATAACCCCCCCCCCCTTCCTCCCCCCCCCTACGTTTAAAATCGTTGGCTCTGCTTGTAAACATTTAGAGTGAACACAGCTCACTAAAACCATGTGGGGTGGGGAGGTAGGGAGAGCGTTTGCAGCTTGTTTTCTAACGGCTCGAAGAGGAGAATTATATATATAGATTGTTTATAGGTAAAACAAAAACGTAACAGTGAATGAGAAATGTATCACAAGTTATGATTACTCATACATGTGTAAGAATAAATAAATACATAATTTTTAATAAGTATATATATATATATATACATATATATATATATATATATATATATATATATATATATATATATATATGTATGTCTGTGTTAGCTATTTTACTACCCGAAATCAACTGTAACATGTTTTTTAGCTTTTACAAGATGCTTACAAGATGTTTTTATGATGCTTACATGAAGCGTACAGGAAGCTTACATGATACTTACATGATGTTTATATGAAGCTTACAAGATGCCTACATGATACTTAGATGATACTTACACGATGTTTACACAATGCTTACATGATACTTACATGATGCTTACATGATTCTTACGTGATAGTTACGTGATGCTTTCGTGCTTACATGATACTTACATGATACTTAGATGGTTCTTAGATGATGCTTACATTATGCTTTCGTGCTTGCAAGTCGAGCTTGACCAATTCATTCAGAAAAAGCTTGGATTGGCTAGCCGATCATACTGTACCTAAACAGTGTGTAGACTAGAGGAACGCCTACAAATTCTTGTCTCTGATTGCTACCGGATCTTCAGTGTTTTTCGCTGAAAGTAATTCGTAGAAAGAAATAATTTTGTTGTATTTAGTTGAGTACAAAATATTAACTTGATTAAAACTAAAATAAAACATCATTTTTAGTTCTGTTTTATTACTGTCTTGTTTCATTATTGTGGAATGTAAAGACGCAAGGAAGAAAATATTTACAAAGACAACGTGTTTTTGATAGTTTGAGTGGGCTAACCTTGTCAGTTGTGTGAACTGACTTCATGCAACATACCTCATGTCAATTAAGGGAATTCATTACTAGCACAACTGTCGTGGACTAATACGGTTAATAATAAGCCATAAGAGTTTGACGCGAACAGCTGATTGTATAGCTAGCTTTACAGTATACAGCACTAATACCTTACCAATGTAAACAAGTGATTGTATAGCTAGCCTTACACTATACATCACTAATACGTTACCAATGTAAACAAGTGATTGTATAGCTAGCCTTACACTATACATTACTAATACGTTACCTATGTAAACAGCTGCCACCAAGACAGAACAGTGTTGTCGGGTATCTCTGTCTCTTTTTCTTTCTTTCTCTCTGTATATATATATATATATATATATATATATATATATATATATATATATATATATATATATATATATATAATTAACTTATTAATTTAAGCCTTACAGGCACTTTACGTATCTTTAAACTCGATTCTATATCCAACGTTCAGCCTAGCACATTCAATAAACAGCTGATTATAAAAATATAGCCTAACGTTATGTTACTATTAAGGTTACCTGACGGCTGGTGCCTATGGATTAATATCAGTCGATTGATGAAACTAAATATATATTGTATAGGCTAATATTACGGTAATACTTTTAATCGGTGACTCTAAACCTATAACCATTGTCAGGTTAAAATTGTACCAATATTATCCGAGCTACCTGTTAACCTTCTCATTATACATTGGATTGGTTTTTTAGAGACCAGTTAATAGTCTCTCTTGTTTTATTAGTAGATCATCTATCAATATTTTGTATGTAAATTGTATTTCATGGGGTGTTTGGGGGTGGAGTGTGGGGTGACGTTAACACCCCCCCCCCTCCCCCCTCCCCTTTACACTCAAAAAAGATACATGAAAAAACTCTGAATGCTTCGTGTCGGTTGGAAATAAATGATACACAAATTGGTTCATTTGAGCAACCAAAACATTGTTTTATGAACACACGATTTCTTGCCTTTCTTCTGGAAAAAAAAAGTTTAAAATGAAATAAATACTCATTAGAGTATGTTTCAAAACCACTAGAAGTATTGCCTTCATACTGAACTTTATCAATACATTCCAGGGGATGCAGGAAAACGAAAAAAAAAAACGTTTATAGGAAGAGTGGAATCTATAGAAGCTTCCAAATCTGTGTGAAGGTGATATAGTTAGTAGATGGGTATTAGTAAGACGGGTGTATGTGTGAATATGTGCACATATGTCGCGTTTCCTAGTTATAAGATATGTGTGTCATGAAAGACTATGTACATTTATGTGCATCTTCTTCTTCGTTCTTCATTGTGATGTTTGAAGGCAGCGTTAGTTTTATTTTGGAGTTTTCTCACCTAGATGTCTCTTCCGCCGGGCTCCGAACTCGGGATATTCAGTTTAACAGCCATGAGCATTAGCGACTTGACCACGGCGAGCCTTTTGTAGATCGTGCCTAGTCACAAATGTAATGTATTCTTTGTAGATTGCATTTATGACTGGGTACGATCCACACAAGGGTATTCAAATGTATTCTTTGTGGATTTATCTTCATCTAGAAGTAACACCTGTGTTATAACTACGGGTTCGTTGTACTTTTAATATAAATAAATACTTAAAATTGACCAAGATCCACTTTTATGGGAAGGCGCGGTCCAAAGGTAGAGCGCTAGGCTGCTACCCCGAAGGTCCCGAGTTCGGATCTCAGTTCGGATCTGTGACTGTATGATGTCCGTGAGTCACCCAGCTCTGATGGGTACCTGACTTAGGTTGGGGAAAGTAAAGTCGGCTGGGCATAAAGCTGACAACACATATACCGAGTTTGACAAACATATAAACTCTACTTCATCTGCCCAACGGATTGCTAGGTCTAAAGAGGAACTTCACTTAAGATCCAGTTTTTGGATAAACCAATAAACCCACATCACGCGTGTAGGTAAGTACACACTAGTCGTTACGTACACGATGTGACCGTGTACTCTTATGCCAGTCACGATATAGTATCTGCTGCTTGATCAACCAAGCGTATCTACCAAGCTACATCAGATGTCAGCCAAATTATTTCTATACCGTGTGCTCGGCCTCAATCAAAAAATATAGACTAGAATTTTGTTTAGTCCCATTGAGCCATGTTTGGTGAGATTAGTTGTGTGGTTCTTCTTGTCGTCACTTATCTGTTCTTTAACAAAGTTCTGAGATCCTTGAAGGTCGGTGACTATGGGAACAAGTATGTTTTTGTTACCGGGTGTGACTCGGGTTTTGGACAACGACTCGTCATGTAAGTTGTGTTGATGTTCCACGTTGTTTTAAGGTACCAGCAACGTGGACAATCTGATGACGTTGTTGGTGCATTAAAGTAAACAAACATTTGTGTTAAGATTGTTACACGTACATTTTTTTTTAGTAAATTTAGAGTAGCGTTCCTTTTGTTTACATATTTTATTACCCTTTAAAATATAGTCTGTTATGGTTATATTGAGGTTTAAAACGTAAACAAATAGTACACACATTTCTGTAGCAAAGGAACAAATGGGAGTGAGGTTACATAGATCAAAGTTAGGACTTACACCGTGTTCACACTTGCAACATGTATACTATACATGTCTATGGAAGAAACACAAATCATAAAAAGTTAATGCAATAGGAAAACATTTTATCCCACGGAACATGTACCCTTACTTGCTAAGAGTTTTTTTTCTTCCTAAACTAGTATAGTATACATGTCGCAAATGCTAAAAACATGTATACCATACATGTCTATGGAAGAAACACAACTCACACAAAGTTAATATAATATTAAAACACTTTCCCCCACGGAACATGTATTCATCCTATACATGTATAATATACATGTCACAAATGTTAAAAACATGTATACTATACATGTCTATGGAAGAAACACAACTCATAAAAATTAATATAACATTAAATCATTTTCCCCCACGGAACATGTATTCATCCTATACATGTATAATATACATGTCGCAAATGTTAACGCGCTGTTAGAGATTAGGTAGGGTATACAATGGTTGGGTTGGGAGGTTTGGGGTTCGATTCTCTCACAGCCAGCCAGAGGGTCCTTATGTTTTGTTTCAACAAGATATAAAGAAGATAAAATCACATAGTTACCTTGTATTAATCACTTGGTGTATGTATTCAAGTGTCGACCGTCCATCAAAAACATAGGGGAACAAATAGTAACAACGTTTACAAACCTAGGCGCTATGAATTATCTGTAGTGCACATTAAATGTGGCATGTGAAGTCTACATTATTCCTGGACAATATTGTTTCTTTCGACACTTTTCTCTAATGGGGTGGGGTGGGGGGGGGGGGGAAGGGAGGAAGGTACGCTTAGGTACGCTTAAATTTTCCAATTAGGAGGGGGGGCACTAGTTGAAGTTTATTTTTTTCACATGAATTAAATATTATATCAATTTCGTCCAACTGGGTCAGGCGGGTTGGGGTAAGGGGGGGGGGGGGGTGACGATGGACATGCCCCAAGATTCGATGTATACTGCCCCTCCCCTCTCCCTCAAACGCAAGAGAAACCCAAAAAAACTTTATCTTAGTACTAAACATCTCATAAAATAATTCTGTTTATTTTTTATTTTTTAATATGTTCACAAATTTTTTTTTATAAAATTGCTACAGAAGTTAAATTTTTATTACATTTAGCCGTCTAGACGGCCTAGGTTTCCATGTATTCGCCGGATGTCACTCAGCTAAAGGCACGGCCTATTTAAGCTCCAGCTGTTCCAAGCGGGTGGTGCCTATTGTACTGGAGCTCTCCCAGAAGGAAAGCATTGATGCAGCGCTACAGGTTGTCATGGAAACGCTGCCAGAAAACACGGGTGTGTAAAAAACACTTAAGCATAAAAACCGTTTTTTTTTTCCATCAAAATAGTTTATGTTATAATGCATTAAAAAGAAGAAAATTTAATGATTTTCCTTAAATATATAATGATGATTTACAATTTAAATAACTTAAAAGACAAATGTGGGTCGATATATTATGTACAGAAAACCTTTAGTAGAATTTATTAAGCAACCCACGCTTTTATTTTTAGTTATTTAAATAGCAAGTCATTTTATTTTTTAAAGAAATCATTTATTTCCTATTTTTAAAGAAAATAATTTTTCCCTCCTTTTTAGTGCATTACATTAAAGTTTGTTTTTAAAACGTTTTTGATAAATAATAGAAAGTATTCGTTTAAAAAAAAAAGACAAAAACATGTAAGCTGAGGTGTGACTTCTTTCGAGATGTTTACAGTATAGTTGCTATACTGACCTGACGGGACACGGAACAGGTGAAGTAGAGTTCACCTGTTTCTGCGATTCCAGCGTATGAAGGGGGTTATGTGGTCAGCACCATGCTCAGCCAAATTCGGTGTTTTAAAAAGAATAAAACATTTTATATGCGTGGTCTAATTAAAACATACAATTAGACTTTCGCTCTTATGTCGTTTAGAGCCGGCCTAGATAATTTGAGTTAAGTCTTTATCCAAGGGTCAAATGGGGCTGGTCAAGAACTGGTCAAGATGATTTAAGTCTTTGTAAGTCTTTGTCGACAGGTCAATGGTAGTTGGCCAAGATAATTAAGTTTTTGTCTACATGTGACTTGGTAGCTGGTCAATATGATTTAATTCTTTGACCCCATGTCTATGAAGTATGGTCACCACGAACTGGTCAAGATGATTTAGTTGTCCCCTGCAGTGAGTGGGGGGCGAGGGGTGCGGACCGCACCAGGTGACACCATTTAGGGGGTGACACAAAGCCAAAAATAGCAAAATATATAAAAAAAACCGATCATTCAAATTACATAAATGATTAATTAGGGTTAAGTGCAAAATTGACGAATCCCGACAAGGGTAAGGGGGTAAGGGGGGGGGGGGGGGGGGTGAGACAATCAGGTAAACCTGCTAACGTGATAGAAAACTATACTACATCCAGCTCTATTTAGAACCGACTATAGCTATACTACATCCAGCTCTATTTATAAACGACTACAGATGAAAATCGTTCGTATTATCTGCGCACAGTTTAAATCTATCATCGGGTGGAGAAGGGGGTGTGAAACCAACTAAACGTTGAAAAATTTGCCTGAAGAAAAATGTTTTCTTGAGAATAGTAAGAACTGACACGTCAATCCCTTCGTCTGGGGTGCGGGTGTGTACATATATATATATATATATATATATATATATATATATATATATATATATATATATATATATATATATATATATATATACATATATATGAATGCCTATATATAGATTTTTTTTTCGCTGGAGGGGGGGGGGGGTTGACACGATTAGTTGCCGCACCGGCTGATACCCGACCTAGCGACCTTTTGCATTTAAAAAGATCTTAAAGCAGATAAAATGACAAACTAAGGCCTATAAATTCGCTTTGGTTAAGAAAAAAACCACATGGTTTAATTAGCAAATTCAGCTGATTGAATACATAATACTAACTAACTTTAAATATTTTTTTTTCCTAAAACGGGCTCCTTTCTGAATTTTATCAGAAGTTTTTATTACTTCTAATTTTACATTAAAAACCTATAGACAGTAGAATTACGTATTGATACTCGGCAAAAGAAAGATCGCTAACACTAATTACGATATATGTAAAATCAATGTTGGATTTCATTTAAAAAAGCAACAACAAAAAACATCTTTCTGGGGCTACAAATAGGTAGGCTACAAAAGAAAAACGATACCTAAGGGAGACAACTAAAATTGTAAATTTAAAAAAGGAATAAACAAAGTAACACATGGTGTAATTAGCTAATTTAACTCATTTAGAATAGTCATTTATATTTTGCAATTGACAAAAGTAGCTAGGTTATAAATTGCCGAAAATTTATTTTTGGTGAAAAATACTTTCATAATTACTACCAGTATTAAAAGAGGAAAGACAATACGATTATGTATTAGAATTTGGTATGGTTCCGATCCCTGACGTCAGAATTTAGAATTTTTGTGTGTAATTTAACTTGTTAATTTTTGGATCCCCATTCCGGGGACAAGAAAAAAAAAATACAGCGGCACAATGACACAAGAGTTCCCAAACTTACATCTGTTTACTGCAGGTCTAAAGGTCAGCTTGACCTAATCACTGGACCTTTCGAATGCCGACTGGACCTCACTCACGATCCTTTGACTCTCAATAAAGCGGGCCACAAGAGTATATTGAACTTTTGCATGATATTTATAAATGTTATGCCCAACTGGTAAAATGTAAGCTACTATTTGAAGTTTAACAAGTGAGCAGTTAGAGGCGTCGCGGGGGTGGGGTGCGGACCGCACAGGGTGACACCATTTGGGGGGTGGGGGGTGACACCAAGACAAAAAAAATTGCAAGATATATAATGGTTAATTAGAGGTAAAAAGTAAGTATGTTTAGTACATATTGACGATTCTGGCGGGGGGGGGGGGGGGGGGTAAACACGTAGACATTAAAACAATAGAGAAAACAATGCTACACCCAGCTGTTGTAACAACCGACTATAGATAAACATCATTAGTATTAAATGTGTACACTTTATAGCTATGACTTTTAACTGGCACCAACTGCAAAATTTACCGATTTTATAAAAAAAGGGGGGTAGGGAGGGGGTCACCATAAGGTGCCTCACCGGGTGACGCCCGAACTAGCGACGCCACTGGTCCACAGGTCTATGGGAGATGGTCACGAACTGGTTAAGTTAATTTGAGTTAAGTCTTTGTCCAGAGGTCTATGTCGGATGGTCACGAACTGGTTAAGTTAATTTGAGTTAGGTCTTTGTCCCCAGGTCTATGGGGAACTGGTCAAGATGATTTGCGTTAGGTCTTTGTCCCCAGGTCTATGGGGAACTGGTCAAGATGATTTGCGTTAGGTCTTTGTCCCCAGGTCTATGGGGACCTGGTCAAGAGATGGTCAAGATGATTTGTGTTAGGTCTTTGTCCCCAGGTCTATGGGGACCTGGTCAAGAGATGGTCAAGATGATTTGAGTTAGGTCTTTGTCCCCAGGTCTATGGGGAACTGGTCAAGATGATTTGCGTTAGGTCTTTGTCCCCAGGTCTATGGTGACCTGGTCAAGAGATGGTCAAGATGATTTGTGTTAGGTCTTTGTCCCGAGGTCTATGGTAGCTGGTCAAGATGATTTGAGTTAGGTCTTTGTCCCCAGGTCTATGGGGACCTGGTCAAGAGCTGGTCAAGATGATTTGCGTTAGGTCTTTGTTCCCAGGTCCATGGTAGCTGGTCAAGATGATTTGAGTTAAGTCTTTGTCCCCAGGTCTATGGGGATTGGTCAAGATGATTTGAGTTAAGTCTTTGTCCCCAGGTCTATGGGGATTGGTCAAGATGCTTTGAGTTAAGTCTTTGTCCCCAGGTCTATGGGGATTGGTCAAGATGATTTGAGTTAAGTCTATGTCCCCAGGTCTATGGGGACTAGTCAAGATGATTTGTGTTAGGTCTTTGTTCCCAAGTCTATGGGAAACTGGTCAAGATAATTTAAGTTAAGTCTTTGTCCCCAGGTCTATGGGGATTGGTCAAGATGATTTGCGTTAAGTCTTTGTTCCCAGGTCTATGGGGACTGGTCAAGAGCTAGCCAAGATGATTTGCGTTAGGTCTTTGTCCCCAGGTCTATGGGGATTGGTCAAGATGATTTGAGTTAAGTCTTTGTCCCCAGGTCTATGGGGACTGGTCAACAACGCTGCTGTCATGGGTAACGTCGGCGTGAGTGAGATCTGTAACCACGAAGACTACACCAATGTACTCTCCGTCAACCTGCTGGGTACCATCGAGATGTCTAGAACCTTCCTGCCCCTGATCCGCCTGGCCAGGGGCCGTCTAGTTAACGCCAGCAGTGTGTGTGGGCGGCTGGGGGTCATCACGGTGCCGTACACGGTGTCAAAATACGGCTTGGAGGCGTACTCAGATATTGTGAGGTAAGTGGGTAACAGATGTTGATGTATGTATATTATAAATAGGAGGTAAAGTTTATAGTTGTTGAAATATGAAATCATTAGAGTTTAGTATGAATTACGTAATAAAATGTAAAATAAAAAAAAAAACTTAATTATATTCTTACTTATTACGATCCAAATTATAGATTACTGAACAAATGATTGAGTGTTGATGTAGTCTTGGTCTGAAAATGATCTCCATCACTGAATTATCTTTACGTTTCCGTACTATATTATAAAATATATTATTATTGTTATTATTTCTATATTATAAAACATTTCTAATCGATAACTACCTGACTCTTCTTAACCTTCGTTGTCGGTGAAAACAGTTTAAAAAGTTCATCGCAGCTATCGTGCGATTGCTAGTGTTTAATTTTGTTACCTCCCCTTATGTTACTGAATTTAGTAGTCAAATAAATATTTATTAATGTCTAATTTAATATCCAATTAGGCTAAAAAATTAGATATTCTCTCGTTCTCTTCGGAGATGAATATGAATGGAAAGTGTTGACAAAATCACTGTAATTTAGCTATATAATTGGCTCCAAACACACAGACAATCACATAAAAACAAACGAAAAGGCTTCGTGAAAAGTTACCGTTTGGTAAATCTCCGGTTAAACGTCACTTAAGTTATGACTCGGTGCCCATATAGTGAACACTTGACTCTCTCCACTCTTCAGGCGTGAGCTGTATAACAAGGGGGTCAAGGTCGTCATCGTTGAGCCCGGCGGCTTTAAGACTCGCCTCATTGAGAGTCAAAGGATCGTGAATGAGGTCCAGTCGGCATTCGAGAGGTCCAGTGATGAGGTCAAGCTGACCTATAGACCTGCAGTAAATAGATGTAAGTTTGTTAGGTCAGGCTGACCTAAAGACCTGCTGTAAATAGGTGTAGGTTTGACTCTGCTAGGTCAGGCTGACCTATAGACCTGCTGTAAATAGATGTATGTTTGTTAGGTCAGGCTGACCTATAGACCTGCTGTAAATAGTAAGTTTGACTCTAGTTGATGTTGCTTTCTGTGTGCAAGCCTTACACTACTTACATTCACGTCAACTCACTTGATATCAGCCTGGGGTGACGCCTTTGATGCGGTGTAACAGAAAAATCAACGACTTGTCTAAGCGCGAGGCGTCACTAGGTGGGGTGTAATCCTGGGTGGTGACTCAGGGTGTAGCCACCTTCCACCCTCACACCCTTAAAACAATGTTGGATAAAAAATTTTCCTCACCGCCTGTCAGTATCATTTTATTTTAATTAGATAAACATTGTTGCATCATTAAAGTGTGCGATTTTTCAATCAGGCGTCACCCCCCCCCCCATTTAAATTGTGTGACGCCTTATTAAGATCACCCTACTAGATCTGATCCCCCCCCCCACATTCTCTCCATCTGTCACACCCTCTTGTCGCTTCTCGTGCGCCCTTGAGGGCAGTGTATTGAAAATGAAATCATTATTTGTATTCAGAGGCGTAGCGAGGGTGGGGCGGGAGGGGGGGTGCGGACCGCACCAGTTTACACCATTTAGGGGGTGACACCAAAGCAAAAAGTTGCCAAATTTTCAGAAGACAAATGGTTTTCGCCTGTCCCATTTATAATTTTAAATACAAATTTAGTAATTTATATAGATATATACTTTTTTCTTGGGGGGGGGGGGGAGTGACAACGGCCTAGAAACGCCACTGTTTGTATTGTTTTCTTTTATGTACCAAATAAATTTGTTTTCTTGGTATAATGTATATCATGCATTCCACCTTTCCTAGTGATTGATCTCTTTCAAATTCCGAGCCAACTGGTCAGCACCAACCTTGACCTTGTAGTGGACGCCTACATCCACGGCCTGACCTCCAGGTACCCAAAGACCAGGTACATCGTGGGGATGGACGCCTGGTGTTTCTTCCTGCCTTTGTCCTACCTGCCGACCTGCATCAGTGACTGGATGCTACAGGCGCCTTAACCGCTGCTTTGTGTTAGGGTTTGTTCACATTTGGGTATATATCTTGGGGGGGGGGGGGGGTCTGTAAATAATGTCATGCTAATTTATCTTCTATTTTTTTTTCGAGGATAAAAACTAAAATTCAATAAAATAACGTCACAACATTTCTCCCCCCCCCTTCCCAATTAGATTAGCGTATATCTATCATACATTTATACGTTTATCATAACTATCCCTCTTTATATAAATATAAATAAATGCAATTTCATAGTCCTTAAACCCTTTCAAGTACCCTCGCCATTCATCTTCACTAAAACATTAATCGCAGTCCAACACCTGTTTTGGTGTCTGGTGTCATAGATCTATAAGGACGACGGGAAATGAGGGGTCACAAGATCCATCCCCCCTCCCACCCAAATCCCACCCTTTCTGATCAGTACCCACGCCATCTCGCAAAATAAACAGCCGTGCTGCTTCTATGTACAAAATATAGACCGTTATAACCTGTAGTTTTTTTTTTGTAGTCATGAACAATACATGTATTTAGTAGCATTAGCTTTTTGTTGTGTTTTCTTGTAAACTTCTTAATTTATTTTCAAAAACTTGGGTCAACTCCGTTCATGGAGAGATATCTGTAGGATATGGGACTGTGGATGCCATTAAGGCGGAGTTTCTTAATATGATTATGATTAGTGTGATTCTTGCGTAATTAGTATCCTAGAAATCAGGCACTAATCTGTAGTTTTCAAAGCAGAAGGAAGTTAAAGATACATCCAGCTAATTAATTTAAGTTTACCATACATCTCTTATTACACAGAAATCACCCATAATTGAATACATATATAGATCGAGTATGAATTTATTATACCTGTATGTTGCACAGTCGTATGTTATCAATTATCAATACTGTATGAGTTGATTAAAATAGCTGAAACACATGACTTATGTTGACACTTCTGTTTTCCTGTTATGAATTCCTTCCCTTTTTCTACGTTGTAATCAATACAAAGTTACGTCCCCTCTTTGAATGAATGAAATACCAAAGTCTAGGGTACCGCACGCACATACCACGGTCTAGTTTACGTCACATTTTTAACTTAACCGGCCTGCAGGAGTCGTGACTCAGCGGATTTTTATTGGAGGATTTTTAATAGCGGAATTTTATTTTTTACTCTATAAACATTTGGTAAAATATATTAATTATAATTTTTAAAATTTTTTTGTTAATTTAGAAAGAGAATTTTATTTATAATAGATTTAGTAAACGATTAAAAAAAATTAAAATCGCCTATTAAAAAAAAACGATAGAAAAATCCTTGGTAACGATCGCGAAATTTACTACAAAAACAAACAAACCTAGAATTAATCGTATTTTTGTAATATGTTACAGAATACAAAAACAAAAAACGTTACAAAAACATAAACAGAATAGAATATGTTAGTCCTTTGTATGCTGGTGTAGGAGACACTATCAGCTGAGATTAGACACGCACCAACTCGGTGAACGGAACTTCTGATGTGATATATTGACATGCGCTGGGTGGAGCCGTTCTTTGGTCCGCTTACCTGGCTATAAAACCCGGGGGGAAAGAAAACAAATATTCAGTCAGTTCTTGTTGGATTATTTCATGTTTGATTCGGTTTTTTTTTTTTTTTTTGGATTCGTTTTTTTTCGGTTCAGTTGGTTTTCATTTAGTTAGTTTTAATTCTGTGTTGAGTTAATTTGTTTGGAATCTGTTTGTTGTTATTAAATCAGGGAAGATCAGGTGAGTGTGGTTTAAATTGTTTTGAATTATATGACGTCAAATTCATTTAGTGAAAGAGGTGGTTGTGGTTGTGGCGGGGGGGGGGGGGGGGGAGGGGAGGGTACGAACTTTAATGATATGAATCAAATAAAGGTTGATGGGGTAAAAAGTTTTACAGTATAGCATTTTTAGAAGTCATTTTTTCGGGAAAATAAAATTAGCAAGATAGCATTTAACAATAATTGCTAAACAATGTCGTTATTTATTGGAGTAGTGGGGTTAGTGCGGTGGATAAAACTAAAGCGTGACGTCACTTGAGTGTATCTAACCTTTCAGTTCTAATAATAAGAGATGTTAAAAATGTATCAAAAAGAGCGCGACTGAATTTAGTATATTAGGTTCGAAAAACATCAGAATGTAGGTCAACTGAGAATAATTGGGTTAAAGAACAGACAAATAAATGTCCTGTCAAACTGTTGCTAGGCCAGGGGTCGGCAACCTTTTGAAGCGGAAGAGCCAAAAGTTACAATTTTCAATATTTCACTGGTTTTAAAGAGCCACTAACACTTTTTTTATTTCAAATATTTTATTTTTTTATTAAGATTATTAGTATTTGTTCAAGGAGCTGGAGAGCCGCATCTTGATATCAAAAGAGCCGCATGCGGCTCGCGAGCCGCAGGTTGCCGACCCCTGTGCTAGGCAACGGGCAAACGTGCAAGCGTTTTGACGGAAATCAATTTATCTAATGGCAGTAGAGGAATAATTGATAGACAAATGAAGATGGGCTGTCATTAAATTTCATGTTTTAAAATTTTATAAGAATGTTAATTTGTTATACTTTGCTGCTGTTTATTTTACAAAAATATCTAACATTAATAATAACAAGTGAAGGGTACACGAATTCAATGACAAGTTAGAATAAAATAACATAAAATAAAATAAAAATTAGGATTAATTGAAAGACCAAATTCAGCCCCCTGATATACAACTAAGGTAGAAAACACTTTAAATACTAATTTAAGTTATTATAACCTTTGTAGTCTCCCTTATGTCCACAGATCTGACAATGATAAAGCTCGGTATAGCCGCGGCGCTGTATGCAATACATTTTATAGCGGACAGGACCATACGCTCGTTCAGGGTTGGAGGATATAACAGGAAATATGTCTTCATTACTGGCTGTGATTCGGGATTTGGCCGAGATCTGGCTATGTAAGTTTGTAGTGTTTTATGATAAGAATTGTTTGGGGGTTTGTAGCTTGTATTTGCTATTTGTTTGTGACATCAGGAGATAGATTCACGGATGGAAAGTTATGGGTGGTATGGATGTGTGATGTGGGGTGTGGATGTGTGGATGTGTGATGTGGGGGTGCGGATGTGTGATGTGGGGGTGTGGATGTGTTGTATGATGGTGTGGATGTGTGACGTGATGGTGTGGATGTATGGCGTGGTAGTGTGGATGTGTGACTTGGTGGTGTGTGACGTGGAGGTTTGGATGTGTGACGTGGTTGTGTGGGTGTGTGACGTTGGGGTGTGGATGTGTGACGTGGTTGTGTGGATGTGTGACGTGGTGGTGTGGATGCGTGACGTGGGTGTGTGGATGTGTGGGTGTCCGATGTAGGCATGTGATATAAGTGTAATGGCTAGTTACGTGGGCTTGGGGTAAGGGAGGTCTGGATATCTGACGTTTAGAATTACATGCGGGACGAAAGGTAAACAACATGACGTCATGTGAAAGTGTAAACAGACATGTGATGTAAGGAGACGTGTGATATAAGCAGACGTGTAATGTAAGCAGATATGTGGCACTAACAGACAAATTATTGAAATAAATAATCCTTTTCAAATGTTATAACCATAACATGTTTATTTCTCCCATACCAGCCGCTTAGATCAGATGGGCTTCAACGTGTTCGCTGGTTGTCTAAGAGACGACGGCAAGGATTATTTGAAACGTCACTGCTCTGATCGCTTGACCCCCATCACCCATGACGTCAGCAGAGCAGAGAGTAACAAGGCGGCCTTGGACGTTGTCCAGAGGGCTTTACCTCCCAACACAGGTCAGTACATTCTGGTCGTATATGTGGTGTCTATGTGTTTGTATGTCCTTTGGTCAAACATGTGTTAGAGAAGTTATCCAGCAGATTTTAAAAGGCTGTTGGCGGTAACCTGAACAAGAATAGGTTATGGTGTCATCTTATTGATATGCTCATGTGTCAACTGACAATTTTTTGTGAAAGAATGTGCACCCGAGAAGATTACCAGCGGGTAATTATAATATGTCTGAATCAGGGGTCGGCTTGGTCTAAAGCTTCTGGTATCTTAACCCAGACGTCTCGAGTTCGAACCCCGGGCAGATTATAGCCGAGGACAGCAACCCATCTAGTAGAGAAAACTCCAAAATCGAACCACTTTTGCCTTGTAGTTTTTTCTTGTATTGACAAAACTAATGAAAGCAAATACAAAAAAAGAGAAGCCTGCTGAAAGCGTAGTCAATGGCCTATATGGGGTACAGCAAATTACATGTAATTTGACGTAATACATAATTGAGTGAAATGAAAGCCCATCCAACGTTACAAATAAGGTCGTAAAATAAGAGCTGAAACCGTCTATGAACGGCTTTAAGGCAACATTCATCCACTTCCAGTCTCCGGTCTATTTGGTCTGGTTAACAAACCGTGGATCTCCCATTTCTGATCCACCTTACGACAACATTCATCCACTTCCTATCCTAGGTCTGTGTTGTCTTGTAAACAACGCAGGGATCGCCGGCAACATGTCCCCCATTTCTGACCCCCTTAAGACCACATTCATCCACTCCCTGTATTCAGGTATGTGGGGTCTTGTAAACAACGCAGGGATCGCCGGCAACATGCCCCCCATTTTTTACCCCCTTAAGACATTATTCATCCACTCCCTGTATTCAGGTCTATGGGGTCTAGTAAACAATGCAGGGATAGCCGGCAACATGTCCCCCATTTCTGACCCCCTTAAGACATTATTCATCCACTCCCTGTATTCAGGTCTATGGGGTCTAGTAAACAATGCAGGGATCGCCGGCAACATGTCCCCCATTTCTGACCCCCTTAAGACATTATTCATCCACTCCCTGTATTCAGGTCTATGGGGTCTAGTAAACAACGCAGGGATCGCCGGCAACATGTCCCCCATTTCTGACCCCCTTTAAGTCAACATTCATCCACTCCCTGTACTCAGGTCTATGGGGTCTAGTAAACAACGCAGGAATCGCTGGCAACATGTTCCCCATTTCTGACCCCCTTAAGACATTCATCCACTCCCTGTATTCAGGTCTATGGGGTCTAGTAAACAACGCAGGGATCGCCGGCAACATGTCCCCCAGCGAACTGTGCACCCGAGAAGATTACCAACGTGTGTTCGAGGTAAACATGCTGGGTACCGTGGACACGACCAACACGTTCCTGCCCCTCATCCGGCAAGCCAAGGGGCGCGTCATCAACATGGGCAGCGCCAGCGGTCGTCTCGCCGTACCCCCGGCACCCGACGGCATCGCCAAGTACGGCATGGAGGCGTACACGGATATATTGAGGTCTGGATCGTTGTTTGATGCTTAACTTTGTAGTTGAAAATTTTATGCAATGCATGTGTAGTTCATGTTTGTATTTCGGACTCGTAAAGACTCTAGTTATTTATGATATCAGTTAATCTTTATATATATATATATATATATATATATATATATATATATATATATATATATATATATATATATATATATATATATATATATATACGTTAATTCGTATGTATAAATATAAATGTAATATATTAAAATATATATATATAATATATATATATAATATAATATATATACAATATATATATATATATATATATATATATATATATATATATATATATATATATATATATATATATATATAACATAAGCCTATATATATATATACATATATATATATATATATATATATATATATATATATATATATATATATATATATATATATATATATATATATATATATATATATATATATATATATAACATAAGCCTATATATATATATACATATATATATATATATATATATATATATATATATATATATATATATATATATATATATATATATATAAGAGTGTAGACATATTGATATTGATACATATACTTCAATTATCGACTGTTATATTCCAGGAGAGAACTGTACAGTCGTAATGTGTCTGTGGTGCTTATAGAACCAGGCATGTTCCTGACTGGCATTGTCCAGACTGAGGCTCTGACCGAGGGCGTGAGGTCACGATATGACAGGGCTACACAAGAGGTCAAGGACACATACGGGGACGTGGTGGGCAAGTGTAAGAACATTTTGTATTTTAACTACTGGTCATGATAGCGTTAGACATACACTTTACTTGTAAAGGTATTTTAATTCTATTAGTAGATCTATATGTTTTTAAAGCAAACAGTTTCTTGATATGCTACATACATTAAAAGTAAATTCCCACTTACAAGCTTGACGGTCTATGGGGCAAGTGAAGTAGAGTTCACCTGTTTCTGTGACTTCGGTATATAAAAGGATAGTGTGGTCAGCACTATGCTCAGCCGCCTTTACTTTCCGTAACGTGAGTTAGGTCCCCATTAGAGCTGGGTGGACTCAGGAACGGTGTACTGACTTGAACTCGGATTCGAACTCGAGACATACGGTTTAGCAGTCTAGCTACATACATTGGGAAGTTAAATTTCCTTCGAGTATATTGCTATACATAATTTACAATATAAATGGGTATACACTTACTTTTACTGCTTCTTCTTCTTCGTTCTCACTCTGTTAATGACCCACCAAGGTAGGACAAACAGACTGAACGGACATCTGGCCGTACCTACGTATATGGCAGCAGTTCACTATAGTGTTATGACATAGAATCGACATGTCACTGAAATCTTACTTAAATGTTTTTTCAATTTGCGTTTCATCGTGTATTTGTTCCCTCCCCCCCCCACCAGTCCAGAAGATGTGCCAGCTGATGATCAAGTTGAGCTCCCCCAACACCCACAAGGTCATTGACGCCTACGTGCACGGGCTGACCTCCAGGTTTCCCAGGACCAGGTACGTGGTGGGCGTGGACAGCAGGTTCATCCTCATCCCCCTCTCCTACCTGCCCACCTGCTTCACCGATTGGCTGCTACAGTACAGGTAGCCACAAGAACAGTACAGGTAGCCACAAGACCATGAACAAGTAGAAACAAGCCCATGACAAGTAGCAACAAGCCCATGACAGGTAGCCACAAGAACAGGACAGGTAGCCACAAGCCCATGACAAGTAGCAACAAGCCCATGAACAAATAGCAACAATCCCATGACAAGTAGTAACAAGCCCATGAACAAGTAGCCACAAGCCCATGAACAAGTCGCCACAAACCCATGAACAGGTAGCCACAAGCCCATGACAGGTAGCCACGAGAACATAATACGTAGCCAGAGGCCCATGAACAAGTAGCCAAATGCCCATGCTAGCTCTCTTCAAAAACCTGACAGCGACGCCTAGTGAACTCACCAGGTCATGTAACACGCACTAGACAATGAAACAACTCAGCACACAGTGTACACACTGAAAGAAGCGCCAGTCAAACTCGAATACACAGGTTAAATAAAGAAAGAATGAAAAGCTGGATTATCAAAAAGATGGAACAATAAACAATTTTAAAACGACGAGCTAAGAATAAATAGCTACATGACAACTGCTACAAATATCATTGTAAATAGAAGTATTCACCGAAGTAATAGTGTATGGGTGTAAAGAGCTTTACTAAAATGTGGATTACATTGAGCCTTGATGACTTGTGCTAGGTTTATATTGACTGAATGGTGTAAATATTTTGTAGATTCTGCTGTTAGTTTTAGTTATTTCGACTGTCCAGTATGTCTGTGACTGACATACTATGTAACTGCTGACATACGGATTGTCATCTTCGTCCATTATTTACTTGCAACTTAAATGTAAAATGTCTTAATTAGAGACATTACTTTTTGATCTATTTTTCTTTACATTTTTACAAAATAAAATAAATTAAACAACACCTGTCTGTGTTTACCTGTCATATACACCTCTCGTAGGTACAGATACATTTCAAGTAACTTACCATAAATAGTTTTTTTAAATTTACAATACAAACTAAAAAATGAGGAAAAACGTGGAATCTATTATCAAAACACAACACACAATATATTTCTAAAATCTTGACCACAAGACTAAAGTATAGCATCCGGAAACTTTTAGAACAAAAAGGATCTACATGCATTTTAAGGGTGCCATATTTTTTTATTCTACTCGGGAGCCGGACGTTTTGCCGAAAGACACTTGCCCGAATGCCGTTTTCCCGAATGGACACTTGCCCGAATGCGACAAATGCCCGAATGGACACTTGCCCGAATGCGACAAATTTGCCTTCGGGCAAACGGCATTCGGGCAAGTGTCTTTCGGGAATTTGTCGTAGACCCATTCTACTAAAAATCCGATTTATTTATTTATCTACAGTGTGACTTTCAATTTCAAAATCTCATGATGTCAGTTATTTAGGTTGACTTATACCGTGTTTTAAAAATATATCTCTGTGTTTAAATAAATCGAACAACGAAATCGAATTATATATATTTTTATTTGGTATTTCTCTTCAGAGGTAGGAAATATAGTACACATCACCGTGTGCAGAAATAGTACAAGGGAAATAACTTTTGTATTTCTTTAGTTATCCAAAACAGGGGGAGCCACTCCAAATCTGCGACGACAGGTGTAGGTAGAGCCATCATCTATAATGAGCCGGGCGGCCATCTTGTCGGGGGTGGCTTTCGGTAAACTCCGGACACAGGTCAGACCTTTCCGGCAGCCGCAGCCGGACCGGAAGACCGAGCAGCTCTCGCCCTCATTGAAGTACGTCTGGCAAATTTCTGTGGGTAGGGGAAAATACGTATTTTAGAACGGTTGGCAGGTTTCAGTGTTGGGGACAAATACGTATGTTAGCACGGTTGGCCAGTTTCTGTGGGTACGGGAAAATACGTATATTAGCACGGTTGGCAAGTTTCTGTATGTAGGGGAAAATACGTATGTTAGCACGGTTGGCCAGTTTCTGTGTGTAGGGGACACATACGTATGTTAGCACCGGTTGCCAGTTTCTGTGTGTACGGGAAAATACGTATGTTAGCACGGTTGGCCAGTTTCTGTGGGTAGGGGAAAATACGTATATTAGCACGGTTGGTAAGTTTCTGTGTTGGGGAAAATACGTATGTTAGCACGGTTGGCAAGTTTCTGTGTTGAGGAAAATACGTATGTTAGCACGGTTGGCAAGTTTCTGTGTTGGGGAAAATAATGTATGTTAGCACGGTTGGTAAGTTTTTGTGGGGGAGGGGAAAATACGTATTTTAGCACGCTTGGCAGGTTTCTGTGTGTAGGGGAAAATACGTATGTTAGCACGGTTGGCCAGTTTCTGTGGGTACGGGAAAATACGTATATTAGCACGGTTGGCAAGTTTCTGTATGTAGGGGAAAATACGTATGTTAGCACGGTTGGCCAGTTTCTGTGGGTACGGGAAAATACGTATATTAGCACGGTTGGCAAGTTTCTGTATGTAGGGGAAAATACGTATGTTAGCACGGTTGGCCAGTTTCTGTGTGTAGGGGACACATACGTATGTTAGCACCGGTTGCCAGTTTCTGTGTGTACGGGAAAATACGTATGTTAGCACGGTTGGCCAGTTTCTGTGGGTACGGGAAAATACGTATATTAGCACGGTTGGCCAGTTTCTGTGGGTACGGGAAAATACGTATATTAGCACGGTTGGCAAGTTTCTGTGGGTACGGGAAAATACGTATGTTAGCACGGTTGGCCAGTTTCTGTGGGTACGGGAAAATACGTATATTAGCACGGTTGGCAAGTTTCTGTGGGTACGGGAAAATACGTATATTAGCACGGTTGGCCAGTTTCTGTGGGTACGGGAAAATACGTATATTAGCACGGTTGGCCAGTTTCTGTGGGTACGGGAAAATACGTATATTAGCACGGTTGGTAAGTTGTTGTGTGTCAGGGACAAATACGTATATTAGCACGGTTGGTAAGTTTCTGTGTGTAGGGGACACATACGTATGTTAGCACGGTTGGTAAGTTTCTGTGTGTAGGGGACACATACGTATATTAGTACCGTTGGCCAGTTTCGCTGGACACGAGAAAACGTGTGCTGAATAATGAATTTGTCGACAAACAACTAAGTGAATGCTAGCGCTACTTCTACTTGGATACATATCAGCTCCGAATAGTAATTCACTCCAACAGCCTGCCTTTGTACGAATGTACAAATATGCAGGTAAAACAAGAAGAATCAAATTAGTATAGGCCTACTGAAATATGTGATCGTCTAGGAATAACGTGACATACTGGACAAAAAGGGTGTCAGCATTTGGTTGTGTCTTTTCATTAGGTCTCACGCAACTTTTCATGGTATAATACTTAAATCATGTCATATATATTCGCTGCTATTCAAAACTATTTCAATGTGCTATGTACATTGTAGTAATGGAAAAGATGCCTAAGTATAAACAAAAACAAAAAACAAAAAACGGATATGAACTTACTTTGGGGCCAAGGAAGGACGGGTACTCTCTTCCTGCTGACTATCTGGACGTTCTCTTTACAGCACTCTCCAGATCCACATTGGGAGTTGTCGATACAACTTGCGCCAGGTACTGCCTGTAAGCAAGACGGGAATCACGTGACTGATACAAAACATAAGACATAATTTTACACACACGTTGTACAATTAAAATCTCATGCTCACATAAGGTACGAAATGTATGTCATATATGCATATATATATATATATTATATATATATATATATATATATATATATATATATATATATATATATATATATATATATATATATATGCATACATGTATATATATATATATATATATATATATATATATATATTTATATATGTATATATATATATATATATATATATATATATATATATATATATATATATATATATATATATAATATTATATATATACATATATATATATATATATATATATATATATATATATATATATATATATATATACATATATATTAAAATATATACATACGTATATTTATACATATAAACATAGATCACTCTCATTTATTAGTTAATCAGTGTCTAACATTAAACTATCTCACCTGAGTTATTGAGATGAGACACAGGCCTACACCTAACAGTAATAGAGCTGATATTTGTATCATTTTGAAGTTTTAGAAATCTGTACAAACACTTGCATTGCTCACGTTTATATAGTATTTATACCAACATGGCCGCTTTTGATTGCCGTTACGGTGATTGTTTTTTGTCATCGCTCTAGGCCTTTTAATTATTTCACACAAAAGCAATCAAGCACAAACGGGTTTCCTGATTTGTTGATTGCACGTTCATACAAGCAGAACTCATCTTCAGCCGGTCACAACATCCAGTCAACACAACATCCAGTCAACACAACATCCAGTCAACAGGGGTAATCAGTCAAAAAAAAAAGTTCACTTAATAAATAAGTCAATCAAAATGATCGCGTTTACAAAAATTTGTTTTACTTTTTCCCAAAAAGGAACAAATGGGCAATCTTTCAATACATCAAACCAAAGTAGACAACTGTCAAAAAATATTTGATTTGTGAGTTTCTATAAAAAAGCGATTTGGCAATTAATATTCAGCTTGTGCTTTTCTTTGCCTAAAAACCAACATGTAGATATTTACTTATTCCTTAAAATTAAAAAAGAATTCAAACGTTTCACTTCGCTTTATTAAATGTGTATAATATACATTTTGTTAATGCACAGTGGACGGCAAACATCTAATTTGCCTACATCTAATGTTAATTAAGTACGTTTAGCTTAAATATCAATAGCTATTGATCCATCTGATAAACATAGCCTTAGGCTAGGGAAATCGAAAGTAAAAACTGTAGGTTACACAGTTAACACTTTGTTGTTGTCGGTTTACAGGGTGTAGGAGGTCATAGATCAAAGGTCATAGGTGTGTCTCCTAAGTGGACCAGATGGTTCTGACAAAATAAGCTTCTTCTTCTTCTTCGTTCTTACTAGTAATGTTGGACGGTATTGACCTCAACTTAATTAAGCATTAAGTATTAACTTGTTATGCGATAAATAAACCATGGACTCCGATTTCAGCCTGCTTTTCTTTTTGGATTTGCTTCCATAGCCTTTTGTCCAACAAATAACAAACTACAAGGCAGAAGTTGTTTAATTTTGGAGTTGTCTCTCCTAGAAGAGTTGTTGTCTTCAGCTAACGAGCCTCATCTGTCCCGGGTTCAAACTCGAGACTTATCGGTTTAGCAGCTTGCAGCTTTACCCACTCGACCACGCGAATTTTTTCTGCTTCATGTCGTCATACATCTTGACAAGGAAGACTCACCCTAAATAAAACATGTTATATACATTTTCGTCCACTGAACTAGACATAGTTCTTAGTTTAATAACCATATTAAGTACAAATACTTGTAAGATAGAAATGTCCGCTCATTAAAAAAAAATGTTGGTATATTTTGTTACTCTGTTAAGAAACACGTAAGGTATCAGGTTTTTAATTGTTTATATTAAACTACTTTCAACTGAACTACACCGCATTGAGCTAGCATGCTCTCACACAACAGTAATTATTTTTCTTCTTTTCTGCGTATCACCTTAAAATCTTTCAACGCCGCTGATTAGATTTAATTAACTTAATTTCTTTTCTTAAAGATTCTTTCACTCAGTGTACCAAAAACGTTATCAAGAAGAGTAAAGAAACAGAAAAACCTGGTTCGTATTTTGGTAATATTTTAAATTTATCATTAAGTTGTTTTGTTTCTTAAAACTAACTGTACCTTGTCATTGTGTTATAAGCCGCTTTAAAAAAGTATCCATTCGAACCTAATAGTCAGCGAGAAAGGTGAAATAGAGTTCAACTGTTTCAGTGACCTCAGCATATGCTCAGCCGCTTTTACTTTCCCTAACCTGAGTTAGGTACCCATCAGTGCTGGGTGGACTCAGTGACGTTCTACTGACACGAACCCTGGGCTGACTTCTTTGTACAGCAGTATGTAGAACAGCCAGTGGCTAGCCTACTACCCCTGGTAGTCAAACAGACAAAGTTAACAAGACATACGCTAAGCCAAGCACTCAAAGTAAACAAGACCTGCGATAGGTCAAATAATGTAAACAAGACCTGCGATAGGTCAAATAATGTAAACAAGACATATGAGAGGTCAAGCCGTCAAAGTAAACAAGACCTAATAGGTCCAGCAGCAAAAGTAATCAACGTTTGGGATAGGTCAAACAGTGACGATATAAGCTTCTGATGGTTTGTTCGATAAATAACAACCGCTTAATACTTTCCGCTTAAAAACCTCTGCAATATCCGAACGGTCTTTCCCTTTCCATACCCTGCGTGCAACCAACATCCCCCCACCCCACCACCACGCAATTAGCAATATCCGGTTAACTTCACATCAACAAGAGCTCGACTAGGTGTAAGGAGATCAAGCGTCACGTGACTGAACCAACCAATAGCAAGACTGTCTTCTAAACTCTATTAAAATGTAGTTTGAGCCCTGCCTACCATGAAAACTAAAACGCTATTGTTGACCTGCATGTTGTTCCATTAACTTGTCTTTGTGTACATCCGTTTAACGCGTACACATATTCTAAAAGTGTACGTTTTAAATGAATTGTTGGTTTTCTGACCTCTGACCGCAGCAATAATTTTAAAAAGCTAATCCACAGAATAGCCGGCTGGCATGTACCGAAAGTAAATGTTTTGGAAAATAAATTGAGAGGATTGTAGGTCAATCATCTAGTGTCCTATTTTTATGAGATATTTTGTTCTTAGTGCTTGTTAAAAATATGTGTCTATATATATATATATATATATATATATATAACATTTGTCTCTATTTTCTAGAAAAAGAAATCGTCATGTCTCGTCTGATATTCTTCTACTGTCTATTGCTTCTACCTGGTGAGTTCAGCTTTTGTTTTGAAAAAAAATTTCTTAGTTAAACTGAGAGATAAATATGTTGTGCCTATATAGCGATGTTGTGGGGAGTTTAAAAAAGGAATGTAGTAAATGACCATGGGGCAAGTAAAATAGACGTCACCGGTTTAATGTACCTCAGCGTACCTCAGGCACCCATTAGAGCTGTGTGGACTCAAAGACGTTCTACAGACTTGAATCCGGATTCGAACTTGAGACTTTCGGGTTAGCAGTCTAGCGCTCTACCATTTCAACAAGCTGTCCCATAAAAATGAATGGTTTATGTAAAAACGAGTATGATGTTTTTAATATATGAAAACATATATATATATATATATATATATATATATATATATATATATATATATATATATATATATATATATATATATATATATATATATATATATATATATATATATATATATCCAACAGTTAGTAGTGGCGTGTCGGTTGGTACCTGTGATGAAGCATGTTGGGAATACGGTGATGATGGTGTTGTTTATGGCTGTCCTGAGGGCTACGAGTGTAGGTCAAACGGCTGTGGTCATCATTGTGTGGCTATTAGGTAGGTCAAGTAAATAAACGTACAGGGGTATTTCAACGGAGTGTTACATATAATGGGACTAAATATCTCAAGACAGATTTCATCAAGACAAAATAATCTCAATTACAAATTATAACAAGACGAAACATATCAAGACAAAACTATTAAGGAAAACATATCCCACGTACAAAATATCTGTAAAGCAAATGACAGACTCTGACAGACGAGGCTCGACAGCTGGGGACATCCACTCTTCTTGGAGAGAAAACTCCAAAATCAAACAACTGCTGCTTTGTACTTTGTTCTTAGTTTGTTCTTAGTTGGACAAAGACTATGGAAGCAAATCCAAAAAGAAAAGCAGGCTGAAATCGGAGTCAATGGCCTCAATGGCGCTTAACCAGTTGACACGTATACTTAATTGTGAGAAAGGGGGATCCTTCCCAACACTAAAATTAAGAACGAAGAAGAAGAAGAAGAAATGACTCTGAGACAAGCTATCCCATAGATATACATTTCCAAAACCAATTTCTCAAACTAGTCAAAGCATAAACTAGTATAACCTTAGACAGAGACCACAGACACACAAGTAAGCCTATAGTGATAACTCTCTGTATGGATGGCAGATGTTACCCTGGGGACAACGGTGCTGCAGCCGGCTGTCCCAAGGGCTACGAGTGTAGATTCAACGGATGTTGTCTCGTCTGCCAGCCGACTGGGTGGGTTGGATGCGTCAACGTAGGGAGATATTCAACGGATAATATATCCAGACAATTCGTATCACGTACAAAATATTACAGGGACAAAATATTTAATGGACAAAATATCAAACGGAAAAAATATTCAACGGACAAAATATGTCAGGGACAAAATATTTAATGGACAAAATATCAAACGGACAAAATATTCAACGGACAAAATATCTCAGGGACACAATATCTAACGGACAAAATATCCCATATAGGACATATTCCACCCTCAAAATATCCCAACGGTAAAATATCTAAAAAATAAGATATTACCAAAGACAAATACTAGACCGACATACTCTTCTCTGAATATAATGTGTCAGAACAAAAATATCCCAAGAATTTAAAACCATGTCATATTTGTTTTTTAAAACTTTCACAGAGACCACTTATATACACGGAAACATTCACATACAAACTAAATCTACCCCTACACAGAGAGGCATACCCATTCCTATATGACAACTCAAGTTTTTAAAGCCAACTTAGTTTACATAAATAACGTGTCTACCCCTGCCAACTCCCTAACCGAAAAAAAAAAAACACCAAAAAACTAACACGCACATAAAGCTCACAAATTTCTTCATGCTATTATGGAATAATTTCCTGATCTGATTTTGTATTACAGGACATAAACCCAACAAAGGCGACTTTATGGAGTCGTGTTGTGAATGTTGAAATCATACATGAAGAAAGTTGATTACATTAAATCAGTTAAATTTCATTTATGTTTCTTTAATTGATCATATTTATTAGCTATTATAATATATATATATATATATATATATATATATATATATATATATATATATATATATATATATATATATATATATATAAACACACACTCACACACACACATATATATATATATATATATATATATATATATATATATATATATATATATATATATATATATATATATATATATATATATATAAATACACCCATATATATATATATATATATATATATATATATATATATATATATATATATATATATATATATATATATATATGTATATATATATATTATCTAGAGTTTTGTAACGAAACAGGTATTAGCTCGTATACGTCTAAAGCAGAGTTTCCTGAAAATTGTAAGGATCGTTCACACGCAAACTTTATCACTTTAAAATAACAATTTTTGTTACGACTTTTTCATTTTGGTATTCGCCACGCTAAACTGTAATTAATATTAATAACACCTAATTAGTAAATTGAGGGGAAAAAAGTAAATTGAGGGTTAGGGTACGGATCCTTGTGATGACGTGTGAGTTGTTGGATGAAGAGAGAGAGAGAGAGAGAGAGAGAGAGAGAGAGAGAGAGAGAGAGAGAGAGAGGGGGGGGGGTAGGGTTAGAAAGTTGACATAATTTTAAAAAAAAACTCAATTTCACCAGTTATGTTGAATTGTTTAATTTAAAATAGAATCAATATACTTAATTAACACAGCTTAATCAATACTTCGGAAAGAGATCCACATTTACAAAACGAACCAGCTGTTCGGAGAGGAGAGTGTGTGAAGCTGAAGTCTGACCTCATTTTATAGGATGGTGAGGGGGGGGGGGGGGGTTGATGAGGATCTTACGATTTAGTCTAAAAAGCGTGGCGTCACTGAAGAAGACTTCAAATAACGTGGACATGACCGATGGCGAGAGAAATTAAAAAACAAATTGGTTTTCTGTTGCCAAAAGTAAAATTCGGTGCGCGGACCTTTGACCACAGGTGCTTTGACCATAGGGGGTTTGACCATAGGGGGTTTGACCACAGCGGAGCTTTGACCATAGGGGCTTTGACCATAGGGGGTTTGACCACAGCGGGCCTTTGACCATAGCGGTGCTTTGACCATAGGTGGTTTGATCATAGGGGGTTTGACCATAGGGGGTTTGACCACAGGTGTTTTCTCAGCAGAGGGTCTTTGATCACAGGTGGTCTATCAACTGGTGTTTGATCACAAGCGCTGTGTCCGGCTTTGATCATAGGTGTTTTGTCCACATAGGGTCTTTGATCTCAGGTGGTTTGTCCAATGCTGTCCATATATGGTAAGGATTTATTTTAAAAGTTGCTAAATTATATTTTAAATTTCGACATGATGTAATAATATGGTCAAACAGATGTACTGACATATTTGCGTGCTATAGCACATCTGTCATGTAGTTAACCATTTTATGTATTACATCTTTGACTATATTGTTGGCAAGTTTTGTATCATTTTTTATCCTTTATATATGCTATGTATTTTCAAGTACTTCTACATTATTTATTTGTGAAACTTGTTATATGTCGCATTATTTGTGTTTCATTTATATGTGGAGACTAAAATATAGTTCTTGGCTTTTTTAAATACATGTTAATTTCTATTAACGTACTCTCAGGAAACATGTATAAAATCGTGTTAATCGTATCACACCTATGATCAAAGCCGGACACAGCGCTTGTGATCACACCCGTTGATAGACCACCTGTGATCAAAGACACTCTGCTGAGAAAACACCTGTGGTCAAACCCCCTATGGTCAAAGCCCCTATGGTCAAAGCTCCGCTGTGGTCAAACCCCCTATGGTCAAACCCCCTATGGTCAAAGCACCTGTGGTCAAAGGTCCTAGGACCTAAAATTCGAATTGTTTAGACAATGAAGAGATGCCTGGAAGAAACTCTGACCACGAGTTTTAGGAATAAATACCTTTCATAATAGTGTGCTGGAAGTTAAGATTAATTTAAATGATATATAACATATATATATATATATATATTATATATCATTTAAATTAATGTGTGTGTGTGTGTGCTCGGGTGTTTGTTTCTGTAGTACAAATCACATTTTTTCTTAACTAATATGAAAATATGTAACAGAACGATACACTTTTATTTAATATCAATATGTGTAACTGACGGTAATATTTATAGACCATTTCCAACCGAAATAATACAGCATGATTACCTCAATTAAGGAGAAACCCCCTATGGTCAAAGCACCTGTGGTCAAAGGTCTGCACACCATATGAAAATATAAGAAGTAGAATGGGACTGCATGTTTTTTTTATAAATACCAATATTGTTTGTAAATGTATATCATTAACACGTTCTTTTACATTCAGTTACAGTGTGTGGTGGTGGGCAGATCGGGCTGTGTGTGGAGAGATGTGAGTACAGCCCCACACTCTCAGCTATGGGTGGGGGCGACGGCTGTCTACGAGTGCAAGTCTAATGGGTGTGGTCATACTTGTCAGCCCAAAGGAAAAGGGTAGGTGATATAGATACACATATAGACATGTTATTCAAAACAACTGACCGATTAGCATGCTAATTAAAACAGACACACACACACGCATTCACACAAATTCTCTCTCACACACACACTGATTCTGAATTAATCATATGAACAAAAATACTACACACATGCAGTTATGTTTACAGGTAGCCTATTTATGAGCTATATAAATACAGTTTTGTTATCAATATATAAAACCACATGCATAAAGACTAACACATATCGAAACTCACACATTCATACACAACTTAAATTATTAATAAACACATAACCAAAGAAAGTTCTACTTCAATGGTAATGATCTATTTTTAAATTTTGTCCTACAGCCCTATAACTTCTTGATCTGAGATGCCAACAGTTTCTCTGATCGACAACTTTTGACCAAACACCTGTCATAAGCTGTCAGAAATCATAGACAAAAGATGATTAAACACACTCTGTAAAATCGGATTGATTGTTGACTAGTTTGTTTGTATCGCATTTTATAGGTCCTGCTTCACTCCCACCCACAACCGTATCACGCCCCTCCCCCACGCCCCGGACGAAATTTTAATTTAATTTAATTTTTTATAAAAAAATACACTGTTTAACACTTGTTCGCCCACACCCCTCCTCACCGAAAAAAATGTCTGGAAAACAAACACTCTAGAATCTAGCTAAATATATTGGAGTTTTGTCATGCTATATATTATATTATGCCGTTATGATACTGTATATTAAAGATCTTTTAATACATCTGTTACAACGTTACAATAATAAGCTTTTAATCGCTAATGATGTAATCAACCCTTTTATTTTGAATCTTATTGTAAACATTAAAGTTCACAAGTTATATTTAAATGAAAAAAATAAACCTCATTAGGGGCTGTCCACATTTTTTCCTCGTTTGTGCCCAAGACTCAAAAGGGAAGAGGAAGTAGAGTTCATCTTTTTCAACGACCTCGACATTCAAGTAGATATTGTAGTCCGGTACCCGTCAGAGCATGGTAGACTCAGGGACGTACAACTGATTTAAACCCGAATTTGACCTCGAGACTATCGGGTTAGCAGTCTAGCTCTCTGCCACGCCCCCCCCCCTCCCATAAATGGCTTTAAACTCCTAGAAAAAGGGTGGTTTGTTATTTTGTGACGATGGATGATGAGGATCACGTTATTTTTTAGAAAGTGTATTTTAGGCTTCATTTTCAAGTTTTTTGTAAACTGACATAAAAATTGATTAAAATATTCTAGGTTAACCAAAGCCAATCCATTTTTTTGGACATAAAATTATGGGGGGGGGGGGGGGGGGGGGGCTAACTACCGTCTAAAAAGCGTAGCGTAATTTACGGATGATCCCTTAATTAACGAAACAGATGCGTAGCGAAAGGGGGGGGGGGGGAGGGTTAGTATATATGTCCCCGGGCGCCGACCCAAGGGGCGCCAAAATGGGTTGAAAAAAAATTAAAAGCTCATTTTAGCTGCAGTTTTGAATTATAAACATAAAAAAATGTAGGGGAGGGGGGGGGGCGCCAAATTGAAAGTTTATCCCGGGCGCCAGGTGGGGTCACTACGCCTCTGCAATAAGTGAATGTATATACACTTATTTCTAAATATAATTTATTCATGCCTTTTTAGAACCTTAAATTTAGCAGATTTTACGTTAGACAAAGAACAACAAATTAAAAAGGCAGTTCAGCAGTGAAAAGTTTATTTGATTCGGTTAGTTAGACACGCCGTTAACCTTTAGAATGCCCAGCAGTGGGTTAGGATTACACGAGCAGTAGGTACACCCGTTACCTGTGGCAAAGCCGTAGGGACAGTAGAGGCCACACATTACACCACCACAAAAACGTTTTCCAACTGTGGAGTAGAGGAATACAAAATGGGGTTACAATAAATCGTCGTTCGTCTCGTACTATTAAAGCAAGACATTTTCATTATGATAATTTTCTGTGTAAAAAGTAAAGCAATATTTTAACATTGGTAGAATATCGCGTATCATATGTTTTATAACCATAACGTCTAATTTTGGTATCATTTACATTCCAAAATTACGAGCTTTTAATTTTACAGCAGATGTTTAAAATGTCAAACTGAAGAACTAAGAAGAACTATTCCTGAAAACATTTTAGAACCATCTATTATCTTTAAATTTCATGAAGAACAAAGCAACCTGAATATATTCTTAGAATGTGTATTGACATTATGGTCTAAAACACAAACACGAAAACATCCGTTGTTGTATATGTGGGATGTGCGGACAGGTTTAAGCTTTTTGTTTTACCATCTCGTAATATAGTTGATTTTTTTCGGATCTTATTGCAACAGGTACAGTTTCTAAACATCAAAGCAACGAAACATAAATGTGTATATGTACTGGTACGCATGTGTGTCTGTGCGTGTGTGTGTGTGAATATGTGTGTGTGTGCGCGTGCATGCATGTATATGTGTGAGTGTGTGTGTGCGTGTGTGTGTAAGTATGTGTGTGTGCTCGTCCATGCATGTGTGTGTATGTATGTGTGTATGTATGTATGTGTGTGTATGTGTGTGTGTGCGCGTGTGTGTGTGAGTATGTGCGCGTGCGCGTGCATGCATGCATATGTGTATGTATTTATTAGTGTGTGTGCGTGGGTGTAAAACTGGTCGACCTGCTCTACTCACCATTCACTGTCTGGCACGTGTGTCCACAGCCGTTTGACCGACATTCCTGACCCTCGGGGCACGGGTTGTACCCAGCGGCCTGCAGGAGGGGACTGGGGCTACATAGCTCCACACAAATAGCCGACAGTGCCGGTTGGAAGGTGGAAGAAACTTAAGAAAAAAAAACAATGGTTAAGTTATATATACATGAATTCTATTTTTCCGTTCGGAATATGTGTATTCGTCGTATAGAATATTAATTCCTATCGCTATCTTAATCCATATCCTCAATCCATTCATCATCAGTTTCCTCATTTCTTTCATCATCCTTTATCCTTATCACTATCTCTATGATGATGTCGATCTTTTCCCCTATCCAAACACGTATCCCCATCTTCATTCCCATCCTATTCACATCCACACACTTATCCACTTTTCTATCTTCTGCACTATCCCTATCCTTTTGGCTATCCTCATACAAATACCTAATCTTAACGTTAACATACTTTACTACGACCATCGTATCAATCATTCTCCCTAACCTTATCCCTAACCTACAAGCTTTAATTAGCTCTGGTTTATAAAATCGTCTCACTTACTTAATCCCTAGACCTAATATTAGCTTAGCCCTAGCTATAAATAGTAGCCAGCATTTAGGACATTATTAAAGTTAAATAAAGCTAGTAATATATTGTTAACATTTAATACACACGTAAACAATTATTGAAAGAAAAAAAAATCGTCTTACAAGCAGCTAAGACACAGACTGTTGAGAGCAGTAGAAACTTCATGATGTCCCCGTAACCAGTAGTTGAATAGTTTCTTTATCTGCGGCTGTTTACCTTTAAATCACCATCTAAAATGTTAGGCCATACAAGATAACGTTTACTTCAAGAAGATAAGAATTTTTTCTTATCTTTTGTAATATAGTTAGAGCTAGTAAAGTTCGTGTTATATTTCAAAACATTTTTGGCAAACAGCTGGGGGAACTTCTGAGATTCACATCATGAATATCACGCTAATTATAGTGTTGTTGGCTCTCATTTCAGGTGAGTACTTAGGTAACTGGTTGATTGACAGGTGAGTACACAGGTAACTGGTTGATTGACAGGTGAGTACACAGGTAACTGGTTGTTTGACAGGTGAGTACACAGGTAACTGGTTGTTTGACAGGTGAGTACACAGGTAACTGGTTGTTTGACAGGTGCGTACACAGGTAACTGGTTGTTTGACAGGTGGGTACACAGGTAACTGGTTGTTTGACAGGTGAGTACACAGGTAACTGGTTGTTTGACAGGTGAGAACACAGTTAACTGGTTGTTTGACAGGTTAGTACACAGGTAACAGGTTGTTTGACAGGTGAGTACACAGGTAACTGGTTGTTTGACAGGTGAGTACACAGGTAACTGGTTGTTTGACAGGTGAGTACACAGGTAACTGGTTGTTTGACAGGTGAGAACACAGTTAACTGGTTGTTTGACAGGTGAGTACACAGGTAACTGGTTGTTTGACAGGTGAGAACACAGTTAACTGGTTGTTTGACAGGTGAGTACACAGGTAACTGGTTGTTTGACAGGTGAGTACACAGGTAACTGGTTGTTTGACAGGTGAGAACACGGGTAACTGGTTGTTTGACAGGTGACTTCACAGGTTAGTGGTTGTTTGACAGGTGACTTCACAGGTTAGTGGCTGTTTAACAGGTGAATACACAGATTAGGGTTTTTTTTTTAGCAGGTGAGTCCACAGTTGTTTTTTTTTGTGAACATTGAACATTTATTTGCAAACATGTTTAAAAAAAAACGAAGATACTTTCGATATACTTTACTAGCTATTTTTACTATACAATTTTTACAGAAGCTAGTTGATTAGTCGTACCAACAAAACGTATAACATAAACTTGATATGCATGATTATATTTAAATCTCTCTTGTTTCTACCCTACCAGCCGCCTACGCCTTTCTGTCCTCCCCCTGTCCCCCAGAGTGTGACTGTGGGCCGGGCTTGGACTGTGCTATAGGCAACAACATCTGTGGCTTCTACTGTGTTTCGTCCTTGGTAATTCATGTTTTCATTGTCGTTAAAGTTACCTGACCAAAAACCTTATTATATGTTTTATATATTTTATATAAAGTCTCTAGTCTCTAGTTCGGAAACCGGAATCGAGCCGGGAAATTATGTATATATATATATATATATATATATATATATATATATATATATATATATATATATATATATATATATATATATATATATATATATATATATATATATATATATATATAATTCTTTGTCTAGCTTTAATTGATTTCTCTAATTAAATTAAAATTAAAATTTAAAATTTTCTCCTAACAGAACATACACACCTAAGTCAGGTCAGAAGTTTGTTACACAGCTACAGGGAAAGATGAAAGTACAGATGGCAATACAAGAAGTGATAATTTTTAAAACAGCGTTAAAGCAATAACTCAGCATGTTTGTGCAAATAAAATTGTGTCTAATTGTAAAAAAATAAAGTATTGTTTAAGTATTGTTTACGAAATTCATCAAAATTTGTCCTTCTGTTTTTATTACTTGAAAAGCATACATTCCACCCCACAACTATTTTTAAAAAAATTAAAAATTTAAAAAACGTCGATTTCTTTAACAACATAATTAAAATACTAAGAGCTGACCACAAAAGAACATCACAAAAGCATAAATGTCGGAAGGATGAGATGGAAAAAAAAGTCAGTTGAAGTTGTTGAGCCGCAAGTTAAATTCCATTACACAACGATAAGTATAATAAAAATCCTGGCCATTGCTTGCAATCTGTTAGGAGTTGTGGCATCATTTTAGATAGCGACTGGCTTATTCAGAAGATGAGTGATTCGTTGTGTTTTCATTTAAAAAAGGGGTGTTTAATTTTTTTTAATTATCAGAACGTGTGACGTCACGTATGGTCAACCATCGCCACAAATAGGAGTTGATCTGATGCTGTCCTCTTCACTGAAGATAGTCTAGTGTAGTTTATAGATGTATTCATAAGCCTCAAAACTATTGGTGTAGCTAGGTCGGGTGTCACCCGGTGCGGCTCCTGAATATGCCACCTCCATCCCCACCTCCTCTGATATATATATATATATATATATATATATATATATATATATATATTCCATATACACCTGTAAGTATGTGTATACGCAAGTGTGTATGTATTTGAGTATATCTTGTTTTTCTGCATGTATTTGATTTTTTTCTAAGCTACGCATTTTCTGGGTTGGGCTTAGTCCTGTGTATCAAGAGTAACATAGCAACCAAATACTTTTTGAAGATCTTTATCCCTTATGGATATAATAAATTTGTGATCCAATTATCATAATTTAACATACTCTATAGCAAAATAAATCAAATTTAAAGATCAAACTGATTTCAGACGTGAATTGTTTCAAAACATTTGTATATATAAAATGTAAGGATCATAGACGGTTTGTACCTTAGATGAAATACGTTAACAGTCGGTAAAGTTATGAGAGGGGACGGCGTGTTTGAATGGTAGAGCTTAGACAGATAACCTGAAGGGGTCGAGTTCAAATCCCAGCTCGAGTCTGTAGGGTGTACCTGATGGCACCCAATTCTAATGGGGTAGGCTACCTGACTTACATTGAGGAAACCAAGGCGGCTGGGCGAAGAATTGACCACACTATCCCCCTCTACTGTCTCAACACCACCGCCGGAAATATGAAAGAGACTACTGTGTTTAATAATCTATAGTTTTTTATTTTTTTTTATTTTTGGTCGAGTAAAAATTGTTGAATTGCAGAAGAGGTGTGGATCGCATATTCAAAACTCACCTTTCACAAACGTTTGATTTAGTATGGGTCGAAAATGGGTCGAAATCGATCGTTCTATTAAAAAAAAAACGGAGGTAACTCAAGGAAGGTATTAAGGTAGGTAACTAAATACGAATTTCCATTTCTGTGTTTCATTTGTTCAAGTATCATTAGCCAGTTAATTGCCAAATTTTAATTTACAAGCTATTATACTTTTTGAAAAAAAAGGTAAGTTATACATTTTTGTGTAATCAAAATTAAATTTAATTAATTTAATGCCATTATTACAATCTTTCACACGCTAGTTTTATTATTTTAAAATAGCTATTTGTGTTACGGTATTCTCTTTATTGTTATTTCTCCTCAAAAATCAACAGATGTAAAATTTCTTTCTATACTATTAATATATGTTGTTTTATTGTTGAACGGCATAATTATGTTTTATTAAACTAATATGTTGAATAGTTAAATTTAAAATTTAATTAATACACTTAATTAACACACAGCTTAATCAATACTTCGGAAAGAGATCCACATTTACAAAACGAACCAGCTGTTCGGAGAGAGGTGTGTGTGTGTGTGTGTGTGTGTGTGCGTGACGCTGAAGTCTGACGCCATTTTATAGGATGGGGCTGATGACGATCTTACGATTGGGTCTAAAAGGCCTGGCGTCACTTACGGAGACCTCCAAATAACCTAGACATGACCTGTCGCGAGTGAAATTAAAAGCTGTTTTTTTTTAATTTCAGTTGCCAATTAAAACTAAAATCTACATTGTTTTGATCCCTCTCCACCCCCCCCCCACACACACTTCGCACACACTCTCTTACAAACGGAATTTAATCATTACTCAAGGTAAAGATGGGATCTGCTGTGTCAACCTAATTAAGCGTCATGTAACTTAAACCATCCAATAGAAGAAGAGTGACATTTAACCTCGAATCCACGTCGTGTTTGAGACCAAAAAAAATCTCGAAAATAAAACCTATCAACCATCCTGGCTGACATTACATTTGGTTCTCTCGGTCATACACTTTATTTAGTGCGTACCGACGTGAACTGAAAAACTTGTTTTTTTTTGTATCAGCTAGACAAGCCAACACAGCATCAAATATTACCACCAGCGTAGTCTGTGCAAATAAAATACATCATGTCTCATCTGTTGTTCTTCTGTTGTTTGTCGCTTCTGTTTGGTAAGTTGATCCAAGTTTCTAATGTACTAGCCATCGGTACCCGTTTCACGTGAATTATAGAGATATATATATTAATTTTAAAATGTTGTACTTGTTTGAGAAAAATAATTTATGAAATAGTTATTGGTCAAAACGCAATGCGCTTTACTACACGCTGAACTATATTACTGACAAAGCAAAAAATAACTAATTAGCTAAAAATCCGACACATTTAACATAACACAGGCACACACTGATTAAGTGACTAAATGATTCCGTTAAAAATCTGGCTATTCAATGGTCATTATGTTGTTTTTAAGTAATTTGTTTTAGTTTGACTGATAAAATTGTATATATTTCATAGCGTACGTCTTGATGAGTAGTTCCTTTCTTTATATTCTAAAATCGGAAGATTCACATATAAAAAAAAGTTTTACATGGGGTGTCTCGATCCCGTACCACCTGCTTGGTAATAAGTACACTGTCATCTCAGCTATTTAGGCACCGTATGAAAAATGGGGAATGAAAGACGTATTTAAAAAGTTAAACTTACGCGAATATGCCTATTTTTTTCAAATTAATTTTTTTATCCCAAATTAGCCAGTTCCATAGCTAAACAAACAAAGCTTTCTATAAAATAATTAAGACCTGAAATAGTTTAATATAGAAATTTATTTTTGGAATAGATTCTAGAGTAGATAAGAGTCTAAATCTAGATCTTATCGTCTTCGTCTAGTTTTTGCGTAGATTTAGATCTAGTCTAGATCTAGAATACCTAGATTTAGAATCCAAATAGATGAAATACATTTTATAAGTTTAGGCCGGATAAATGGTATTGTATACATTTCATAGCATACGTAGATCTAGATCTAAATCAAAGCTAGGCAGTATGCCTTGTGTTTGTTATATGTACCCCTATATTGTTTGTAAATGTATATCATAAACACGCCCTTTTATCTTCAGTGACAGCGTGTGGTCGTGGGCGGATCGGGCTGTGTGTGGAGAGATGTGAGTACAGCCCCACACTCTCAGCTGTGGGTGGGGGCGACGGCTGTCCCAAGGGCTACGAGTGCAGGTCAAATGGGTGTGGTCATACCTGTCAACCCAAAAGAAAACGGTAGGTGATATAGATACACATATATAATTTATATTCAAAACAACTGACTGATTAGCATGCTTATAAATATACACACACCCACACACATACATACCCAAACACGCACCCAAACACACACTGATTTTGAATTTAAACATATGAAAACAAATTATACACCCATGAACTTATGTTTACAAGTAGCCTATTTGTAACCGATATAAACACAGTATATATATATATATATATATATATATATATATATATATATATATATATATATATATATATATATATATATATATATCCACATGCATAAAGACTAACACATATGGAAACACATTCAGACACAACTTAAATTATTGATAAATACATAATCAAACGTAGTTCTACTCCAATCGTTATAAAAATATTTTATTGTGTTCCAACAGCCCTTTACTTTCTTGATCTAAGAAGCGAACAGTTTATCTGATTGACAACTTTTGGCTAAACACCCGTCATCAGCTGTCATGTTTTGAACATAGAAATCATAGACAAAAGATGATTAAACACACTCTGTAAAATCTGATTGATTGTTGATTAGTTTGTTTGTATCACATCTCACAGGCCCTGCTTCACTCACACCCACAACCAAATCACGCTCGCCTCCTCCCCCCTTTTCCGGACGAAATTTTAATTTTTTTTCAAATTAAAAATACACTATTTAACCCTTTTCCGCACACACCCCTTCTCACCGAAAATGTCTGGAAAACAAACACTCTAGGTAAATACATCAGAGTTTTGTCATGCTATATATTAAACTAGCCATCGGTACCCGTTTCACGTGAATTATAGGCCTATATATTTCAAATATATTGTACTTGTTTTAGAAAAAATATATTTATAAAATAGTTATTGGTCAAAACGCAATGTGCTTTACTACACGCTGAACGATATTAGTGACAAAGCAAAGAAATAACTAATTAGCTAAAAAAACCGACACATTTAACATAACACAGTCACACACTGATTAAGTGACTTAAATGATTCCGTTAAAAACTCGGCTATTCAATTGTATTCTTCGTGTTTTAAGGTGATTTATTTTTATTAGGTTTTTACTTTCTCGTATATACGAAGTATAGAGAAAGTATTGTAATCGTGCAAAAAAAAAAAATCGAGATTTTTACAAATCTCGACGTTTTACATCTAACTGATACGGAAAAACATAATTTTGCAATCTTGTCCGTATGTCTGTGTGTCTGTCTGTGTGTCTGTCTGTCTGTCCGTGTGTAAACACGATAATTTGAGTACCGTTACAGCTAGGTTGATGAAATTTCATATATAAGTATTTTATCAAAATCGTAGATCCGTATCAACTTTTGAGTGATTTCCGATAACCGGAAGTGGTACTTTTCCTACTTTGAATTTTTCAAAAGCCTATAACTTGAGTACTATTTCAGATAGATAAATGAAATTTCACATGTAAGTAAAAGATCTAATTCTCTACCTTCTTTTAAATTTTGAGTAATTTCCGTTGACTGGAAGTAGTAATTTACGCTACTTCCGATTTCTAAAAAAACGAATGTAAATTTTAAAAGTACTAATAATATTGCGCACTATTATGCGCTTTTTTATTTGGCGTTCACTTGGTGTGCAATTAATTTGTCTACGAGATTTTATTATATTTTTAAAACTTTAAGTATTTAAAATGGATTAAAAATCATGTCTGTAGCCCAAGTTCCCATCCCCTGTTATTTTATATAAGAATATTCGAGAAAGTTTAGGGGAGATCACTCCCGGTTTATTTATGTATAGGTCTATAGATTTAAAGGAAATACTTAATTTCTTCATCGGTAACCATACCCTATTAAATGCACTCGCTGATTAAGAGACTTAAAATTAAGAGACATAAAACATTTCATTAAAAACCCGGCTGTTCAAATGCAGTTATGTTGTTTTTGTCTTTTAAAGTAAAAATTTATTTTGGGAATAGATTCTAGAGTAGATTATAGTCTAAATCTGGATCTTAGCGTCTACATCTAGTTTTTCCGTAGATCTAGTCTAGATCTAGAATCTCTAGATCTAGATCTAGAATCCAAATAGATAAAGTAAATTTTATAAGTTTAGGTCGAGAAAATAGTATTATATACATTTCATAGCGTACGTAGATCAAAATCAAATTTGAATGAAATAGTTCATTTCTTTATATTCTAAAATCGGAAGATGACGCCATGAGTTTTGTGTAAACATTTGGCGACTGACGTCATTGTTTTATGCGTTCTTTTTCACAACTATAAACACTTTTCCTGTTGCATAATTAAAACTGTTTTTCTACCTTCGAATATGCCTTTATTGTTTTTTTCTTCTTTAAATAAAATTGTGGTAATACATTTGAAACATCTACCATATTATTTTCAACAAAAATCCACATCGTTCTCCATATATCGCTGAAGATTCGGATGTGATATCCGGCGAAAGTATTTTGTGGACAGAGAGAGAGAAGTGCGCACATGGGCTTTTATATATTAGGATTATGTCGTTATGATATTGTATATTAAAGTTCTTTTAATACATCTGTTACAACGTTACAACTATAAGCTTTTAATCGCTAATAAAGTAATCAACCCTTTTGTTTTGAATCTTATTGTAAACATTAAAATTCACAAGTTATATTTTAAACGAAAAAAAAAACAACCTCATTTGGGGCTGTCCATCATTTTTCCCCGTTTCTGCCCAAGGCTCAAAAGGGCAGATGAAGTAGAGTTAATCTTTTTCAACGACATCGACATTCAAGTGGATATTGTGGTCAGGTACCGGTCAAAGCTGGGTAGACTCAGGGACGTACAACTGATTTAAACCCAAATTTGACCCCGAGACTATCGGGTTAGCAGTCTAGCTCTCCACCACCACGCCGCCCCCATAAATGGCTTCAAACTCCTAGAAACAGGGTTGTTTGTAATTTTGTGACAATGGATGATGAGGGAAGGGGGGGGGGGGGCGCTCAGATAACATGACGCAGAGCGTTTCATTGTGCTATCATTGTGCTATATGTGATACCTTTTTTTTTTTTTTTTTTTTTTTTTTTTTAAGTTAAGATTTTTTTTTTACATTGTTGTTACACCAGGCTTTTTATTGCTTGAAGTGTAATCACACTCTTATAAATAATTGAGTTTTTTTTTTCAAAAAATAGCAATTCACATATAAATTCATTAGTATTAGCAAATCAATATGTGAATGTAAATACGTTTTCTCTTGATGTTATGTTTTCTTGCATTTATTACTGAGGTACTAAAAATTCGAAGGATTTTACATTACTCAAGGAACAACACTTTGAAAAGCAGTTCAGCAGTCAAATGTTTATTTGATTTGATTAGTTTGACTTTCCATTAACCTGTAAGTAAAAGACCCTCCAATAAGTTAGGTGTACACGAGCAGGGGGAAAGAAATTGAGAGCCAATGGGACAGACGAGGTTACACCCCACCGACTTTCGTTTTCCAGCTGTGGAGTAGAGGAATACAAATGGGCTTACTGGATATGACGGTTCAGAGGCGTAGCGAGGGGGGGGGGGGCGGTTGGTGCGGATCGCACCGGGTGACACAATTTTGGGGGGTGACACCAAGGCAAAAATAGCAAAATATATAGAGAAAAACCTGAGGAGGGTGCAAAGCAAAATTTTGAGGGGGGGGGGGGGTGCAAATCGAAAACTTGAGGGTGGAGGGTGCAAATTGAAAATTTGAAAGTAAGGGTTGATACGCCTCTGGGGGGTGACACCATTAAGTGCCGCACCGGGTGACACCCACCCCGCTACGCCACTGTGGCGGTTCATATTGTATTATTGAACAGAGACATTTTCATTTTATTCATTTTCTTAGCCATAAGTAAAGCAATATTTTTTTAACATTGCTAAAATGTATCTACAATACTTCATAACAATAACCTCTAACTTTAGTGTCATTTACCTACGAAATGTTCGAGTTTTTAAATTCTACAGTAGATATTTAAAGTGTAAAACTGCTAGAAAGAGAAACAATTACTGAAAGACATTTTAGAATAATCCATAATAATTAGACTTCATGAAGAAGAAAGTAACTGCAATACATTATTGGAATGTTAATTGAACTTGTGACATAAACACAAAAATGCATGATTTTTAAAAATATTTTCACTCTCACAAAAAAAAAATTAACTCGAAAACACCTGTTGTTGTGTATGTGTGGTGTTGGGGCGGGTTAAGGGTTTTAATAAAATTATACTTTTTCTTTTACCCTTTCGTCCTAGATTTTTTTTTCCGGATCTTATGCAACAGTTATAATTTTTTAAACATCAATGAAATGAAGCATACATGAGTATGTGTACTGGTACGCGTGTGTGTGTGCATGTGTGCGTGTATACATGTGTGTGTGTGTGTGCGTGTGTGTAAAAAAAGGTCCACCCGCTCTACTCACCAGTCACTGTCTGGCACGTGTGTCCACAGCCGTTTGACCGACACTCCTGACCCTCGGGGCACGGGTTGTACCCAGCGGCCTGTAGCAGGGGACTGGGGCTACATAGTTCCACACAAATAGCCGACAGAGCCGGTTGGAAGGTGGAGGAAACTTAAGGAAAAAACGACAGGTTAAAGAATTATATTTTGAGTTTTTTCTGTTAGGAATATGTGTACTCGTCGAATAGAGTGTCAATTCCTATCGCTATGATCATTGTCATTCTTATCCTCATTTCTCACATCATCAAATCCTCAACTTTATTCTCATCCTTATCGTAATCACCATCCTATCCATATCCACACACTTATCCTCGTCCCAATCCTCTTCCCCATCTTCTGGTTTATCCTTATCATTATCTTCATGCATATACCTAATCTTAACGTTCACATGCATAATGTCCATGTTCCTTACCTTATTCCTAAATATAACCTTTTCTAACATAACTAGTCCTAAGTTATGAGGTCGTCTCACTAACATAATCCTTAAACCTTACTGCAGCCTAGCCGTAGCTATAAATAATAGCCAGGCTTTTGGATTATACGAAATTTAAATATAGCTAGTGATATATTGTTCATATTTAATACACACGTAAACAGTTATTGAAAGAAAAAAATATTCTTACAAGCAGCTAAGACACAGATAGTTGAGAGAAGTAGAAACTTCATGATGTCTCCGTAACCAGTAGTTGAATGGTTTCTTTATCTGCTCCTGTTTACCTTTAAATCACCATCTACAAGTTAGGCCATAGAAGACAACGTTTTCGTGAAGAAGATAAGGATTTCTTATCTTTTGTAATACAGTTAGAGGTTGGTAAAGCTCATGTATATATTTCAAAACATTTTTGGCAAACAGCTGGGGAAACTTCTGAGATTCACATCATGAATATCACGCTTATTATAGTGTTGTTGGCGCTTATATCAGGTGAGTACTTAGGTAATATGTATTTTGACAGGTGAGTAAACAGGTAACAGGTATTTTGACAGGTGAGTACACAGGTAACTGGTGACAGGTGAGTACACAGGTAACTGGTGACAGGTGAGTACACAGGTAACTGGTGACAGGTGAGTACACAGGTAACTGGGTGTTTTTTGACAGGTGGGCACACGGGTAACTGGGTGTTTTTGACAGGTGGGTATACAGGTAACTGCGTGTTTGACAAGTGACTTCACAGGTAAGTGGTTGTTTCGCAGCAGGTGAGTCTACAGGTATTTTTTTAAAGAACATAGAACACTTGTTTATAAACAAGTTAAAAAAAACAACGAAGATACTGTGCATAATATACTTAACTTGCTATTTTTACTATACATTTTTACAGAAGCTAGTTCATATATTTAAATCTTTCTCTTAAATCCACCCTACCAGCCGCCTACGCCTTTCTGTCCTCCCCCTGTCCTCCAGAGTGTGACTGTGGGCCGGGCCTGGACTGTGCTATAGGCAACAACATCTGTGGCTTCTACTGTATTCCATCCTTGGTAATTCGTGTGTTTTTTTGTCGCCATGTTTTTATTCTTGTTTAAGTTACCTGACCCTAAGCCTTACTATATATGTTATATAAAGTCTCTAGTTCGGACACTGGAGCCAATGGGATGTATTTGAGTTCACCCAAATGCGATGGGTACCTAACTTTCATTAGTGAAAATTATTAAGGCGTAAGATTCCGAGGTCACAAAAATAGATGAGCTCTACTTCATCTGCCCCACGAATAGCCAGGCCAGAATATGTATGTATGTGTATGTATATGTATATATATATATATATATATATATATATATATATATATATATATATATATATATATATATATATATATATATATATAACTATTTCTTTCTTTGTCTAGTTTTGAATCGATTTTTCGAATTGTAACAACAATTAAAGCAAGTTTATCGACAACGAATGTGCCTTATTATTACGATATCACTTGCATGGTGTACAGTTTTATAATTTCAAACATGTCTTAAGATGAATGCATGTACGGAGATAACTTGGCTAACGGTAATTTTCTCCTAACAGAACATACACACCTAAGTCACATCACAAGTTTGTTACGCAGCTACAGGGAAAGATGAAAGTACAGATGGCAATACAAGAAGTGATAATTTTTAAAACAGCGTTAAAGCAATAACTCAACATGTTTGTGCAAATACAATTGTATCAAATTGTAACAATAAAGTATTGTTTGCGAAGTTGATCTAAATGTGTCAATCTTTTTTAAATTACTTGAACAGCATTCATTCCATTCCTCAACTATTTAAAAATAAAATTTAAAAATTAAAAATAATAATAAATATATAAAAACGTTTATAATTAAAAGAAGAAAATAATAATTTTTTTATTAAATATAAAATAATTTTTATAAATTTAATAAATCTGCGGTTACTTTATATATAAAAAATACTATCTTTAAATATATAATACGCTTTTAAGTATAGTGATATAAATAGTAGTGCATTAATATATTTAAAGAAAGTATTTTTATATATAAAGTAACCGCAGATCTATATATATATATAATTCTCTTCTGGAAGACGCTAGAAAACAAGCTGTAAACGTGCTCCCTACCACCCCCACCCCTACATGGTCTGGTGAGCTGTGGTTTACTCTAAATGTTTACAAACAGAGCCGGGTTTAGTGACGACTATTAAGGGCAGATAATTTAGTTTTAAACTATTTTAAACGTAGGGGGGGGGGGGTAACTAAGTGGAGTTTATTTTAACAGAGGGGGGGTGGTGGGGAAGGAAGGGGGGGGGTTATCGTCCTTAACGAGCTACTTATAAAGTTTTAAAGAAATATTTTCAGTGGCAGCGTTGGTAGTGTCGAATTCACAAATTATAAATAACTGAAAAGTAGAAAAAACAACAACTAAAAAAGCAGCGTATGATATGCCGCGGGTCGGCTCGTTTATTATATTTTTAAAAATTATTTTATATTTAATAAAAATTGTATTATTTTCTTCTTTTTAGTGCATTTATAAAAGCTAGTAATTATAAACGTTTTTATGTATTTATTATTTTTATACTTTTTAATATTAACGAGTTATACGCATGTTAAGACAATATAGTGTAGCAACAAATATATGATAATTTGAAAAACAGTTTTGCTATAATAATATTATTAGTTTTACTATACGTAAAATTAATTACTTACAATTTTATAAAAAAATAAAATAAAAATAAAAACCCTTAAAATGCAAATGTGTAATGAAATAATGATACAGGGGATTTTTTTTAAAGGCGTGGTGGGCTTTTCAGTAGAGCTGAAATAAATTCGGATATAAAAAAAAAAAAAAAAAGTCATTTTCATGATATTTAAAAATTCGCTTCGCTTAGGAGGACTGAACATTGAAAGTGAAGAAAAAAAATTAATTTTAATACTTGGTTATGTGTTGCAATAAGAGAATTGTGTTTGTTTGACACTAGAGAAAGGATTTTTATTTGAAACTCGTAAAATATGAAAAACAGATTACATTTTTTCACCATTTAAATTAATAATTTTTTTGTTTTTAATTATTCAGCTTTTCATTTATGTAGCTGTTTGACCATTTATAATTTGTGTTTTCAACGAATTGTGTAGACATAGTTGTAGGTCGTTTCCCTTTGTCTAAGTTCGGATTCCAAAGAGGGAAGTAACTCCTGACCCTAAAATTTAAAACATTTTTATTGTATAAATTATAATGTTATATAATAAATATGTTCAACAACAATATCATTGTAATACCAATCATCTTAATCCTGCCTTTTGCATATTTGTTCCTGTTAATTAAATGATGTCTTAGAGTGGGCTTAGAAACTTACAATCTTACACATTCTTTATACACACAACAGTGGCGTAGCGAGGTCGGGTGTCACCCGGTGCGGCACTTAATGGTGTCAACCCCCCCCCCCCCCCCCCCCAGAGGCGTTGCGACCCTTCCCGGGGACAAACTTTCAAGTTTTCGATTTGCACCCCCCCCCTCAAACTTTCGATTTGCACCCCCCCCCCCACTCAAGTTTTTCTCTATATATATATATTTTGCTTTTTTTGCCTTGGTGTCACCCCCCTAAATGGTGTCACCCGATTTATTATATATATATATATATATATATATATATATATATATATATATATATATATATATATATATATATATATATACCTAAATACGTGTGTGTGTGCGCGCGCGCGTGTGTGTTTTAAATGAAGAACGTTTTAACAATACCTAAACAAATGTTAGTAAAAAATACGCAAGTATTCCAAGATAGGAAATAAAATGTAAACGGCTGGTACTTTAGCTAGAGAGTTAATACATGCTTAGCTCATGTGTCACGTGGCTCTCTCGGTATTCTACACACCACTGAAGGTTTGGATATCCGCAAAAACATGTAAAAAATATACCGGTCCGCATCCATCAGTGAACGAAGAAAGGACTGGATCTATATAACACATGTCATTGGAACAGACGAAAATTGACTTTTTGAAAAACCTTTGTGTGGTCGACAGAAGATGGAAAAAACCCACGATTACAACATCGGATAATAATTTTAATTTAAGAAGCTGAACATTTTTTAATACAACGTTTTTTTTTTTAAATTAAAAAATCATGGTCAAAGGGAGACAACAATGAAAATCTCAAAACGCCGATGACAGCCCTAATCACTTCTCTTTTATTACCTTACACATAAAGCGTAAGATTTTTACTGTCTCGTATACAGAGTTGAGGTTTAGAGGAGGTATTGTAATGGTGTGCAATCTTTTCTGTATCTGTGTGTGGTAAAACGATAACGTGTACTGTTTCAGTTAGATGAAAGAAATTTCTGATTAATTAATAATCCAACCTCATCATCCTTATAGGGCTGGTAAGTAGGTCACCCACAAGTTCTATGGCTCATGCAGGTTTTATTGAGCTTTAGAACTGGTTGGTGACCTACTTACCAGCCCTATAGCATCCCTTACCACTGTACACCCACCCCCTCCTGTAAACCCAACCACACTATTTTTTCACTCCATTTACACCCCGCCCATGATGTGAAGGAAAAAAAAAACAACGTCTTTGCTAATCAGAGTTTCTTCCAGGGGGGGGGGGGGCGAACGAAATGAAATTTATATAATTTATATAGAAAATATATACTTTTAACAGTGTCCGCCCCCCCCCCCCCCCCGAAGAAAGTTTACCGCCCCCCCCCCCCCCCCCCCGAAAATTTCAAGTGCCCCCCGAAGAAAAAAGTATGGAAGAAACACTACTGCTAATTGATCAGCGTGATTGTAGGTGAGCCAAGAAAGAATGGACCAGACCTTGCACTATCAGTACCTTCATGTCCGTGAACTTAACGGGACTCTACATCAGGGATTCTCACAAGAATGGACCAGACCTTGCACTATCAGTACCTTCATGTCCGTGAACTTAATGGGACTCTACATCAGGGATTCTCACAAGAATGGACCAGACCTTGTAGTAGCAGTACCTTCATGTTAGTGAACTTAATGAGACTCTACATCAGGGATTCTCACAAGAATGGACCAGACCTTGTAGTAGCAGTACCTTCATGTTAGTGAACTTAATGAGACTCTACATCAGGGATTCTCACAAGAATGGACCAGACCTTGCACTATCAGCACCTTCATGTCCGTGACCTTAGCGGGACTCTACATCAGTGATTCTCATCAGGTGGTCCACACATCATAATTCAAAAGTAAATTAATGATCATACCTTTAGGCTATGAATACACAATTAAGCTAGCACATTCAAAGAGTAAATGCTGAAACTTAAACAATTGAA